CCAGTTTGCTGCTCTCCCCGTGCGCCAAGGCCGGAGAAGTTAGTGATCAGGGGGGGCAGATCGCCGCGCTATGCAACGCTCAGCCCAAGCGCCTCCTTATTGAGTTCTGTTGTTCGACGACCTCACGGTTGGGCGAATCAAGAGACTCTTCAAAGGGATGTCGTGTCATTCGGGTAACTGAAACCGAAGACGGGTGCTCTGATACATGCAGGCAGTGGTTAGTCCATGAAATTGCCGAATTTAGGAGCAAGAATCCTAAGGGTGCAATAATGTTCTACGTTTCATTGCCTTGCACTGGAGGATGCCCGTGGGGTTATGTCAACCAGCAAACTCCCAAAGGTGCTGCCAAGATCGAGGGTCACATCAAGCAATTCCGATCACTGCTGAGAGGGTTCAAACGCATTCTCAATGATGTCTATTCTGATGACGTTAGAGTTGCCTTTGAACTTCCCAAGGCGTGTCGTTATTGGAAATGGCCCGAACTACGGAGTTTCTTGACTAAGTACAAGATGAACAAGTACGAATTCCATGGTTGCAAAATCGGCATTAAAGGGAGAAATGGAAAACCTATGAAAAAGCAGTGGGTCGTTGCCAGTAATATGCCCACTATTTCCGTGGTTGAGTACTTCAAGTGTGATGGTTCTCACGAGCATGATGAAAGCCGTGGTACGCATTTGAAGGAAGCCGAGGGATACACGTATGTTTACACCGATGCCGTTCACAATGCATTTTCTGAACATGCCACCATGCAGCCGTTGCTTTCGAGTGATTGTGCTGCATCTTCTTCGCAATGAGCAGCGCGACGGCTATGGCGCATCCCGCGAGGGATTGCGATCCGGCATGGAGGAGATGGATGGAGAATGTCGCTACCACTTCGGTATGCACGAACGGCAAATACGACGCTAACCTCGCCGCCACGGTCAAGGGCCTCCTCGAGACGACCTCTGCACAGTCGCTTATTCATACATGGGTGCAGGACCAACCGCACTACCTGCAATTGCTTACACCCCTGTTAACCATAAGCGAACCGTACTTGAAAGTTTTGCAGGCCCCACGTGTACCAGACCGCGACCTCCTTATCTATGTGACTGTCGCTGATTCAGGACTGTCCATGGTTTCGGGCAAGAAGCGCAAGCTTCGCAAGTACGACTTTGCGGAGCGTTTGGATGCCTCTCGCCCGGCGCGTGTCGGTGCATGGAGGTCTGAAATGCTTTGGGGCAAGGGCTTACAACAGCTGTGCAAGCGGTTGGCCGCCCTCATCGACGAGGTGCGTACCGACTACCCAGCAGCCACCATCATTCCGATGATTTACTGGAATGGCAACGAGCTCGTTGGGAAGGACGGCCTCGAGCCCACTGGTACATATCCTTACGACACCCCCATCGGAGACGCCGAGCAACTTCTCGCTGACACCAGACGGCACCTGGCTTGGACCAGGGATTTCGCGGCCCGCAAGGGCTGCGCATGCCTTGGAGTCATGACCGGCGCGAAGAGCTACCTCTACGGCTTCTCTATGATTTGGGACCGTTTCATGACGGAAGTCCGGGATTACATCATCGGCGACCCCAACAATATGTTTGTATATGTTGATGCTACACCCTTCGTCGAGACCATCGATTTGCTGGACAGGTATCATATGTGCTTCAGTGACGACAATATCACGAAGACCGTCCAGTTTATGCGCGGAACCCATCATATGTTGTACATGCTTTCCATCTTGCGCCCCGCAATGGGCAGCGTAGCCGAGCTGACACGTTCGCATGATTGCACAATGCGTCCGATCGATGTGCTCGAGGTGCGCCACCAAGAGGATTGCACAGTCAACGTTGAGGTTCTCGCGTACTGCAAGGAAACGCTAACGAAGTGCGGCGTTTCATTGTCAGAGATGATCGGGCTCCCTTTCACCCGTGAAGAAGTGGAGTTCCGGCAGCCCCTCGATTTCGCCCCTGTCGATCCAGCCGAATTTGCAACTTCAGGTGAGCCTTCCGGTGCTGATGTTTCCGAAAGTGTTCGCCCGGCGCAAGCCGGTGCAAAGGCGGCTGCGGTGGCACAGAGGGACGAGGCGACGAGCAGGCCGGTACCACTCGACTCCTACGGGAGGAACGTGACTGGGGGCCACTACGATTGCTGGGTTTATAGCATCCATGACGGCGTGAAGTATGTTGACTATGGTGAGGGCCCCAAGCGACTTGAGATCATCAAGCAGCCTTCTTTTGATTACGACCCTTCCGTCAGGAGAATCAGCAATGAGTACCACAGCTCCCTGACGTGCATCTCGAAGATCCTCCGTGGTCGAGGGACAGAAGGATGTGGGTACGTGATGGATGAGGACGGCTACATGGACCTTGAAGATTTGGGACTCGCGCTTCGCAAGGAGCTGCGACATCCCATTCCATGGAATATTCAAAGCATCATGGACATCTTCAAGCTCGACAAAAAGCAGAGGTTCATTGCGCTTGGTTGCCCGGACGCAAGCCGGTGCGGAGACGTCCCCTGTTCTCATTGGATTTTCAAGATCAAGGCCTCCCAAGGCCATGAGGACTGGCTCCAAATTGACGACTCCGGCATCGCGAAGGAGTGGTACGTGAACCCGGGGACGGACCTCGGGCGCTGGTCTGGCTGGAACGTCTGCAGCAACCCTCCTACGGTGCTCTATCATCGCACCGATAAGCGGAACTTCGCCAACATTATGCGAAACGGACTGCTTCCAGGAGGAGGTGACCAGCACGAGACAGGCAGACCTCACGTTTTCTTCGCTGACATTCCGAGCACGAACGAAAATTACATCTCAGGTGTACGCGCTAACAAGCCCTTGGAAATACAGATCGACCTCAGGATGGCCATTCGCGCAGGGCTTTGCTTTTTCAAGACAGAGAGCGATGGCGTCCTCACGCGCGACAAGGTGCCCAACTACACGATTATTTCTGTATTGGACGCTACAAATGGCGATGTATGGTACACTCGCTCCGAGCAATCGGATGCAGGTGCACCAGCTGAGGCGACTGAGGATGAACCCCAGGGGATGAAGCGTGACCAAGCCGTGGTTGATGATCGGTCCACAGCACTGGAGCGCATTGCTACAACCCGCACCAATGTGGCGTCTCCTCGCGCCCCGCAAGGGGAAGCGAAGAGACAGAAGACTTTCAATCCAATGGAGAACGTTGAGCTGAATGTCGCCACGTGCCCGGTTTGCAACAACAGTGTGTTCGAGGGGCAGGTCCACTGCACATCATGTGGGCAGTTGTCACCCCTCAATCCTCGCCTGTTGAGAGAGCAGCAAAAGAATTACCTTGTGCAGCGTTCCAATTTGCTGAAGAAGATGGGCCTCAGCACCCATGTCACAGCCCAGGTTTTGGCATCCGTGGGAACTTTTGACCTCCGCGAGGAGGATCGGAGTAGCATCCTTCGTGGCCTGAACTCCCCGGACAGTGCTGTCATTCAGGAGGCCCGGAAGAAGCACAAGTCCGCCCTGAAGAACGGCTACCACTCTCTACTTGATCGCTATGAACTCGACCTTCAATACAGGGTTCGTATGCTTGAAGTGGGCCGTCGGGATGCGGATATACTCCGCATGGAGTTGTGTGCAAACCTCGTCTTGGCTGCTCCAAAGCAGTCGCAAGCCCAGCGCACTCTTGGAGTTGGCCTTGGATCAACTTCTGAGTCGCGAATCGCAAGGCTCGCGTACATAAAGACGGAGGTGGAGTTTTTGCCCAGCGAATTGCAGGATGCACTCAGTTCCCGTTGGATCATCATGTTTCAGGGAATGCCATACAGTCCACGGGCTTTTGTGAATGTTGTCTCCGAGCAGGACAAGCCTCGCAGCATTGGATGTTGGAATGGCATCATCCATTTGCGAAGCAATTCCCTCGAGGACCTCCGCCACGAAATGGACTGGATATTCAGCCAGAACGAGCGATATGCCCGAAACTCAGTTGAGTTTTCAAAGAACGAGAGCACCAAGCACCTCGCTCGCAATGCCGCTCGCTATGCCGATCAAAGTGCTCCCGCCGCCCGCGAGGGTGAGCATTGGAGCCAAGGCAGCTGGCAGAACTGGTCCGGTTGGGGAGGATGGAATGACAGCAGCGGTTACCAATCTACTTGGCAGTGGCGCTAAAAGCGCAACTGTCATGGTTTGCATGTATACAACGGTTCCCCATGACCTTCTCCCTCTGTTGTGTTTCTGTTTGGCTGCTTTGTGAAAGGCCCCTTTAACACGCAGAGGGGGGTGAAGAATTTGATCGGTCAGTTTGGGGTTTTACATCCGTTGCATCCGCAGTGTGGCTGTTCAAGCGTGAAAATGTGCGAGCAGCGCACTTGGACGGTTTGTTGTTTCCTTTTGGGCCCCAAACCGGTAACCCTTGAATCTATAGGAGCTTTCGAACTTTGCTGTTTGTGAGGTGGCGCTGGTGTATTTGTTTGCTGTCTTTGAACCCAATTGCAAGGTTCATGCAAGGATGGTGTTTCCCCTAAAGGTGAAGGTTCCCCCTCTAAAGAGGACAACCCCGTACTAATAAACTAAGGGTTGATGAGTCCCAGGCTCCGTTTTTGATGGAGTTTGTTGTTTGCTGCGTGTTGTTGTTTTGTTTTTGTTTGTGGGGGAGGGGGGGGGGGGGGTTGGCAGGTTCGTGTAAGGGTGTTTGTTTTAGTTGCTTTTGGGGGATATTTTCTGAGAATGTGTTGTGTTTGTTTTTGTTTCAGTGATGTCTGTTTGAGGGAAATTAATCTAGAACTGTTATTTTTAAGGTTTGTGTGGGGCAGGGTACATCAGGCTACTCTTTGTTGGTTGCTTTGGGACATGTTATTTTTGAGGGTACCCATGTCTTGATGGCTATTGGGTTGGATCTTCAGACTTTAAGTGTTTGGAAAATAAAGGTGTTTTCCACGAAACCTCCAACAAGTTAAACTTTTTGCAGGGGGGTCAACAGCAATCAAGATGTTGGGACAGTTGCATGCAACGGGAAATGAAACGGACGCATCCTCTATGAGGCCAAACGAGCCAGGCAGCGCCTGAGCATCGCTCGCGCCGTGATCTGCAAGCCCCGGATCCTGGTCCTGGACGAGGCACGTGGACCCCTCGGCCCCCAAGTGACCGAACAAATTGGACTGGGTGAATAACGACCAAATCAAAAGCGGATGGGGAAGTTGTTGTTTCTCCTAGACCCCTATTCAGCCTGGCAGATCGTGAGTAGCATGCCTGTTATCAGCTATGATTAAATGGGTATGGGTCAAAATTAAACCAACAGGAAATGGACCGCAGGTTTTAGTCCATGTTTCCATTTGCCAGGGTTCCGTTTTGGCTACCTATTTTTTTGCCACAGCCATATTGGTACGCCATTGGGTGTGTTCCACCCGCGTTTTGTTTTGGGGGGACAGAACACTGGAAAACTAGTTGTGCGGAAAACCTGAATGGCGTCCCCTGAATGTGTGAATTGCTCTCTTGTTTATCAGGCTATCTCTATCTTTGAAAGATGCATTATACTCGAGGAACTCTCTTTGTGAGGGGGTGGGGGGTCCTTTGAACTCAACTAGCAGGTTTTGGGTGAGGTTTGTTCGTGTGGGGATGTGAAGCTATTTCAGACCTGACCCCTGGGACAGCTATCTTAGTTTCTGCATGAGACGACCCGATCGGGAAGACACCCGAAACAAACGTAAGGAAGACATCTGATGATGTTGGAGCCCCAAAAAACCGCTTCTATGTGTGGGTTTCTCTTCAAGGTCAATCAACCAGAGGGCAAATGGGGGATGTCCTTGTGCCCCATGGCCGCTGACAGAGATTGCCTTTGGACTTTAATTCTTTGGAAGGGACAATCCAGGGACCTCGCGAAAGGATTTCGAGATCCTCCAGGAGTCTATCTATTTGCGTTCGCCTTAAGAGTCGATCCTCTCACAAAGTCAATCTGTGTACGCAACTCTTCGAGGATTCCCCAGGCCGACGTCTGGCCGGGGGGGTCAAGCCATTTGTGCACCAAAGGGGGTCGCCCCCATGTTATTTCATGCTAGTGATGGTTCTGATTGGATGTTGACAAATGAAGAGGCGTTAACAGTTTAGACGTGGCTGTAGTGGTCATGTTGGGAGCCCCGACGTGTACCCATGAGACCTCTAGCGAGCCTGTCTCCGCTGAAATGTCGGGGTCGAGCCACGGCAGTATTGCTGCCCTGGAATGCTCAGTCGATTCCATCCGCAAGTGAGTCACTTGATATGCAAAGCAATCTCGCAGCTGAACGTGCTTCAAGGGTTCCACCCAGCAGAAATCGCCTTTAGCTTTTAGATATAATTAGTCCAAACTTGGGGTTCTGTGGTTTGGTGGCCTGGTGGCTTGGTGGTTTGGTTGTTTGATGTGGTGTTTCCATGGGTTTTTCTTTGGTGCATGTTGCTTGGATGTTAGGACTTTAACTTTTTGCCAACTAATGGTTGTTTATTTTTCCATTAAACCACTAAAAATTAAACACTTTTAGCAAGGGAGCAGACAGCAACCGAGTTTCCATGGGTTTGGTGTTCGCTTGGTTGACGGTTTCCCCCGGTCATCTCCCTAAGCAGGCGACCAGCGCTTTGGACGCCGAAGCTGAGGGCGCTGTGCAGGAGCAAACTTGTCGGGTGGTTCCGCGAGTTTAAATGCCCCAACGCAGTTGGTTTCGTTTGGTTTCCCTGAAAAATCAAAAATTGGTAGGAGCCTGGATGGATGATTATTTTTTGAGAATGCTGCGGGCACATTCCTTGAAATGATTCATACTTCAATCTACTCATGTCATGACACAAGCAGTTTTTGTGTTTCGTCTCTCCCGAACTCCAGGTGACACGTACCTTCGGTGTTGGTTTTTCCAGTTGCATTTATCAAATTTGATCATACGCCTTCCCGGGCTACGAAGCGTGGCCTCAGGTCCAGATGGCCTTGTGGTTTCAGCCGAAGGGAAATCGGCCCATGTTTCTCGGGGTACCTTCCATTTCCATTCTTTCCAGGGATCCGATTCTTTTCAGGAAACCATCAAAAACCCAGGGGAAACAGATCCGGTTTTTGAAAAGAACGATGGTTGAAAAGAATGGACAAACAATCAACCCCTAGAATGTTTGGTCAACTGTGAGGCTTTGCAACGAGTGAATGGAACTCCCATGTGTATCGAATGCGAGGCCCCGAAATTACTTCTGCGTTTGCATATGTTGTTCTGATATCTACACCTGACACAACATATTTGACTCCTTAGATTCATTGCTAGACTTAACCATCCTTTCTTCCCTTCAGCACTTTTGGGTGTTCATTCATTTCCCCGTTTCACCATCAAAATGTTCATTGTTGCGGGTAATCCGATTGGCCATGGGCGGCCATAGGTTTTTTCGGGCTGAGCGTTGACTAAGTCCAGGACGCCCTGGACACGGTCATGGTGGGCAAAACTACCCTGGTGATTGCCCATCGCTTGAGTGCGCCGGGTGGATTGTTTGTTTCTTCGGTTGCTTGCGGTTTGATTTTGTTGCAGTAAAGCCTTCGAATGGGGACTCTTTTTGGTTGCTGTTTCAGGGAAAACATGTGAGAAAGCAAGGAAACGTTGCTGAGGTGTGGGTTCTCTAAATTGAGAAAGATTGCTTTGACAGGTGTGTTCGCTCTCTTCGGCAGGATTGTTTCATGCAGCCCCCATTTTCCATGCCTGGGGCTGACCTGCAACCTAGCGCCCAACGTCGGTAGAGGGAACAGTGGGTTGCCACAAGCAGTACAGTCAGTGGTGCGCAATTTTGCCCAGCTTCAGGTCGATTCTTTGCTTGGGAGGGTTTGACACAGCTTTCAGCCCTGTTGGGACATGAACTGGAGCCTTGTGACCAGGTACCATCCGCAATGCTCACAGCATCGTTTGCATGCGAGATGGCGTGGTTGTGGAGTGCGGCACTCCAAAGGACTGATTCCTGGTGAGGCGTTGCTGAGTTCCAGCGCCTTCCGTACTATAAGGGCTTAAGTGCTCAAACATGATGCTAAGAGCCAAATTATTGAGGCCCTCAAACTGTTGTTACATACGAAACCGTCGTTTGTCCACAGGCAACGTGTAGCACCCCTTGGGGTTGGATCCCCCCAATCCCCCGCGCGCGTGGGTTTTGTAACTATGCGGGGAGCGGGAGCAGAACCCACGTGTCCATTTGTTCATCACCCCAAGGTAGACTTAAGACTTAAGCCCGGGAAATTGGTGGAGCCCCTTTTGGCGGAGCCAATCACCCTGCGTAGTCTTCCTTGGGGTTTGCTCCCACCCAACGGTGAAAGTGAAGGTCAGGGACAGTCCCAACCATGAACAGGTGCGGCAATCCTCCCTTTTGGGAAAAGGTGAGGACTTTGGGTAGACCACTTTATCAGATTTCGATTGTCACATGGAACCCAACCAGGGCTCTGAGTGATAGGAGCTCCTCGCGAAGCAGGGCTACTATTGGAATCTGGTCAAGCGCCAGGCTTGAGAGGGAAATCGGGAAGGAGCAGCACTCAGGGGTCCGTTACAAAAAACACAAGTCACAGCCAATCTGTTTCACGGGAAAAACATGTTTTTGGTTTGATACAAATAATTTTCTGTGGGGTCCGGTTGGAGTGAGTTTCCTTTGAGGTTCCTTTGATACGGGGATGTTTGAAGATGCTATATAAAGAACCCCGGAAGAGGCAGTCGTTTGGTGAATCCCGAAATTATTGCTGTTGTAGCATCCACGACGCTTTGTTGTCAAAGTTATGATTTCAGCTGCCCCAAGGAGGTAGACCGGGCTTGCAGGTTTGCACGCTGGACGACCTCTCTGGCTTCAATCTGGAGTTGGACCAACATCCCGCAGTGGAGGCGCCCAGTCCGGCCCCGTGTGTTTCATCCCGGTGGGCTACTTCCATTGTTGTTTGGCTTTGGAGGGGAGGTTCCCTTCAAGTCAAATAATTACCCCTTTTTTGCGGCCTTCATTGCTTTTGGAGGTGCGGGCAATTTGTCGGATAGGGAGAAACACATTCTGGGTGTGTGTGTGTGTGTGTGTTCATGATTGCAATGTCAGTGTGGGAGGAATCGGTTGCTATTCGGCGTGACCCAGGGAGGGCTTGGGAGGTGGGCATCCTTGCGGGAAAGGAACGCTGCTCTATGGTCTGTCAGGTTGATTAGTTTGGGGTCACCATTTAGCAATATCTTTGGGTCCCCTTTTCGGAACCTTGGAACTCCTGACCTTCTTGAGAAGCCGGGGTCGCATCAACGCAAGATGCAGAATTAGGTGTCCTTTGTTCGTAAAAATAGATGGCCCTGGTAGATGATTGAACCACCAGGTAAACCAGGGCCCCCTATTTTTCAACCAAATCAACCAAAAAGGACGCCTATGGTAAGAAGGCTGTGGCTCAAAAAGCCGGTACCGTGCGGAAATATGGACCAAAACTCCTGCGGTTTGCCCCTGTGTAATGTTTGAGCCACACCCAGATGAAGGGCTTGACACTTTACCACTGGGCCATGGCCGCCAGGCCAGCGCCTGAGCGTCGCGACATGTACAGGGCGGCCAGCGGTGAAAGCGCGCATTGGATTGCCTCACTTGAGCAAAGCGGTAGAGGACAGTCCCTGAGCCTAATCCAAGTATAGGGAGAGGGGTCCTCATGCATTCAGCGGGGTGTTACCGTTTTCCTTGGTTTTCTTGGTGAACGGAACATGTGGCAAAAACCTAGGGCCATCATGACTTCTCCAAATGAGAAACCTTCAATGTATTGCCAAGTCAGGTATCCTCTGAATTGCCTCCAGACACAGGTGTTGCATGGTGTTGCTTTTAGATAATATGTTTTTCGGGACATGGGGCTTCCAATGCCGCCAATACCCATTTTGGAACCTGGAGAAAGCAACCCAATGGTTTCCTAACCGGTGCACCCAACTCTTTAGTGGGCGCGAGCTTCCAGTGTCGATTCCACTTGCGGACCCAACGAGCAAGTGATGAGTCCGCTGGACCATGCCAAGGTCTAGACCTTCCCACTAACATGTTGGCTGACTGGGGGTCCTGGTTTGGACCATGTCCAAACGGGACCCCGTTTGGTGGATTCCGTGTGGGAGAGTGCCCATACACAAGCACGCCGAACACGCGAGCATATGTGTATGTGCATTATATTTATATAGGGAGGGTACCACATCTACATTGTGTGGTTTCCCTCGTGTAAAGAACAGTTGTGGCTGGGCCGGGCAGGGATGGGTGCCCTGAGAGGCCAGTGCGGTGGGCGTCCTCAGCGAGCCGTCGATCCACACCTGCACACAGCCAGATGCCTAAAGCTGCTGAAGGCTTACAGGGTGTGTCCTTTTTTTGAGGGGACCCCCCAAAATGGTGATTTTCCCTGTGGTTTCCCTTTTGAACCCACCCAACCAGGGGTACCGCCTAAAACAGAAGCGCCCACATCGAGTTTTTTTGCTGGAAGACCTGCGTGACTATGACGCAGAAAATGGGTGGCGAGTTACAAAGTCACACGGCGTGCTGACCGCAAGGCTCCCATTGGGCAGTGCGGTGATTCTGGCATCCGACGGCGTGTGGGAGAAGGCCGGTGAAGAGAGATCGAATTGGTTGAGACATGAGTGAATGGGACCATGGTTCATATTCAGCTGAAGGGTGCGATGTGTTGATGGATCTATCCTTGGATGGCATGATATTTTGATTTGTTTGATGCGTATTAATGATGCGATGGCTTGGACTGTCCTTTCAGTCAGGACTGCAGGGCAGCAAGGAGTCGAGTTGAGGCAACTGCCATGCATTCCGGCAAATAGCGGGGAGTTGTGGGTTTTTCACTTGGCACACGTGTCGCCATGCCCCAGACCGTGACATGTAAAATCGTCTTGGGGTACAGGAGCCTCTACGATCCGGAGCCCTTGGCTTCCTTGGGCAATGGGAATCTGGATTGAACCAGTAATGAGGCCGTCAGAAACAAGGTGGCAGGCCTTTTTAGAGCCGAGGGCCTCATCAATGCTTCGTATGGCCTACGTGGGGACTTGTCAAGATGGCTTGCTTCAAAAACGCTCCCTTCATGAACCAAGGGTACATTGATTCTGGAAATCAGGTTGACCTTCAGGTTCTTGCTCAGCGTTCTTTGGGCTGGACCTTTGGCTGTCCACTGCACTCCACTTTGCTTCTTTGGGGCGAGCGAGGAGCGAGAAGCGAGATGTTTGGCTTGCCGTTTTCCCTTTTCTTGTTTCCTGCCCTTTGCGCGCCTTGCGCTGATGGTTTGCTTCCCTGTTTTGTTTGTCGAGGTCTGCCAGTAGTGCTCTGTTACCCTTTTTGGGGGGAGGGTTCCCCTACTAAAATAGATTAGCCTCTCTACTCAAAAACCTAGTTGTTTTCATTGCTTCACCACGCCTATCCCATGGACCCAAGGCACGTCTCGCCCGACTCAGCCTCTGGCAGGTCACGCCGCAGGAGGCGGCGGCCATTACCTCTGCAGCGCTGAAGCTCCACGAGGAGGAAGGCGGGACTGGGTCATACAGCTTGGTGATGGTTGTTGGTGGTAGATCGATATGGGTATGGCTCAAATTAAAGAGCTGGGGCTACGCGGGTTTTAGTCTTTGGTTCCATTTACCAGGCTGCCATTTTGGTAATTACTGCTTTTTTGAGCCACGGCCATATTGATATTGGTCCATGCTGGTTGGTGTAGGTCATGTTGGGTAATGTCGGGTACGCGCTTATCCAAGGGTACCAAATCCAAAATGGTTCTCTTTCCCACCAATAAGAAGGGGACCTAGTACTATATTTGTTTTCGGCTCGCAACAAAAATGTGGGACTTAATCCGGATATTGCTGTTTGCCCCGAAGCAACACCCATCCCCCAACCACTGTTTTGCGACACCAGCTCCCCGAAGACTATTTTTAGTGGAACGTCATCAAATTGCCGCGGCGGTACGTGGGAGACCCCCGCCTCTGCATTTATTTGATCTGCTATCCTCGCTTGGGTGTCCGACACGCCGAGCAACCTCGGCGGACTAAATCAAATCTAACCGATACTAAGCCACAGCTAAACTTGGGAAACGCGCATTTGACCCCCGATTTTTTTGACCGGTTTGCTCCACTGAGTCCAAAGAAAACGTTTTTGTTGGGGGTCCTTTTTTATTCAGTGACTCACATTAATGCTGATTGATGTAGGGTGTTGATTGCCACGCCGATCGATAGAGTTGATGTCGTTCCATGCTTGTCAATGTGTGTTGCGTAGCCATAATCAAAACCCGGCTAAGTGAAGGTTAGGAAGGGGAAGTTTTACATGGGTTTGGGTACACCATCTTAATTCCAGGTTTTGATTGTGACACATGTAGCTAAATACGTCAGGGTGGCGGTTGATGCCCTTTCATGTTGGCAGGTGCTGGTGGTACTTGGTGATGTGTCCTGATGTAGGTTAATGCCAGCTGATGCCAGTTTATGTTGGGTGGTGCTTATTGATTAAGTGCGTGTGGCTTGATGCCGGTTCATGTTGCTCAATGTCAGGATTGGCTGGTTGAGGTTGTTTGGGCTGGAAGGTACCAGGTCAGGGAAACCAACTAGCAGGGATACAGGGAGAACCAGGGATACGGTAGGATTTTCCCTAAATGCACCTTGACTAAGTTTGGGAAGTGGCGCCAAGGGAATCCCCCGATATCCCCGGTCCCTCCGTATCCCCGCTTGTTCGTTTGTCAAAACCAGGTGGGTGTGGCTTTTGTTGAGGGTGCCGATTTTTGGTTGCTTGAATCGAAAGGAAAAAAGGACAACCCATTTAAGCCCCAAAGAACAACACACCCAGGTGGAGCAGTCTGTTTTTTTGAAGGGGCCTCAAACCTTCATATTAGCTGCAGGAACTTCAATTTCACTCATAGTGTCCACGTTAGGGCTGAATAATCCATAGCTGTTCAATTTGCAGAATTCCTGCAAGGAACTACGAAGGATGACAACATGAAGGAATTCAAACACAGAATGGGAGCAACCTACCCACTCCAAGCATAACTTGTGGTTGAGAGCCCCCCAAACGCCTACCAGAAGAAGTTTGGCCAGAAGCCGCCTGCATCACCAAAAGCCTTGGTTTTTGGAGGGACGCTGCCCTTTGAAGGCTTTGAACATCCAGACGCATGCTGTACACTATATATGTTTCAACATGTTTGGTTGCACACATGTTTGAGAGTCATGTTCCATGCTATGTCACATGGCATGTTCAGTCTGAATGTTCGATGAAGGCCTGTCCATTGCCATCTCATTAGCATTGTGAAACAGCATTTAGATTGCACTGTGCAAACTCATCACAAACAGCGTAGGTGACAACGTAGTAAGCCACTGGGTGTTTTGTTGCAGCAGCCGCTTGTGTTACACACGTGGACCCGCAGTAAGCCTTAATAAGCGCCTGATAAGCCTAAATCAGGCTAATTAAGGCTTAGGAAGGAAGGCTTGATAAGCTTTTGTGTCCGTTCCCAAATAAACTCAGCAATGTTAGGGCGGCCCATGAGTTGAGGCCCCAGCATCGCGGCAAAGGCCTTGGTCTCCGAGGCGGGGTGGTTTTAAAAGGAAAATGGAAAGCCCACCCATTCCTGGGGGTGGTCCCCTAAAAAGACACCCAGTTTACAGATGCGTTACTTTTGGAGAGGTTAGGTTTTTTGCGAAGATTAATGAGGAACGCGGAACTCATAGAGGAATCTGTGGAAGACTCAGTTTCTTTTTTGGGAGAATAAAGGTAAGAACGCGTCCTTGATGGGGCAATACTTGCCATTTGCTGCTTGCATAAGCAAGGCACATGACGTCGCACACTCAGAATTGGGATTCCCTTCCCGAGGTCCTTCGTGGCGGATTTTCCCCAGGTGTGCGCTATTTGCAGGGACATTCAACAATTGATTTTCTGCGTTTGGATTTTCGTTGTCCTTGAGTCGAGCTTTCCGCAACAGCCACTAAGTGATGAAACCCTAAACGGTGTCCGGGTCCCCTCACCCCACCCCGCGTCCTTCCTCGAAGGCTCCAGCGGGACTTCGTAATCCCTACAGAATTGGAAAGAGGAAGCAATTAAGCACCCAAACCTTCAGATTCGATGCCCCTTGCCTTCCTGTTTTTGAAGTGGGGTGTGAATCCGCTGGCCAACAGAAGGTTTGTCATGTGTTTAAGTCTTCCCAGGTTTTTGATGTCTCATCACGCTTGGTTTTGCCGACATTTGCTTTGCTTTAAGACACCTTTTGCAGACAATATTGAGAGGGTCAGTTTAGTTAGATTGGGCTTGGTCATTCAAGCTGAACCAGCAAGTACAACAAGTAAATACACCTTATTTGTCGGGTTTCCGGCAGACTCGTAGGCTCGGTCTCGCTGGATTCTGGCGGGCGGCGACGTGGACGACATCACTGCAGCCAAGATCCTGAGACATGCAGCCTGGGGGCGTTCATTTGAGTTGCGCCCTATGAAGACACTACGGTTAGAAGTAGCGGTGCAGAAGACGCCAATGTTAAAGTAGTGGTGCAGAAGACAATACGGTTAACAGTAGCGGTGCATGAATGCGGAGGCTTGCAAAAACCGATCGCTAACCAGTCAAGACAAATTGTGTATCATTTCGGCAGCTGCATGGCTATGTGTCAGGCACAGATTGTGGCCCTCTCAAGTTGGTTAGTTCCAGTTTCTTCTTTATATCACTCATAGCCTGGCTTCTGTCCAAATTGCCTTCTTTGCTTTCCTGTATGCGAGACAAGCAAATGGGTAACGGGGACAGCTAGCTCTTGCGGAGCACATCCTCCCTGAATTTGTTGAAGGCCGGTTAGCTGCTGCTACTGGTAAATGGAATTGCTGTGGAATGAGAGCACTGCTAGTATGCGTCAGTACGGGTAATGTATCTGACTTTTGGCCGTTCCGAGTTGACAGCAATATTTAAGTGTCTCACAGGCCTTTCTGTGACGCAGTCCAGGCTAGCGTCCATGTGTCATACCCTCCATGCCAAGAAGAAACCTTCTGTCCGTAAGCCCGACACTTGCTCCAAGCCCAGTGAGATTTTGTTCGCATTTGTGTTCGCATTTCTGCCACTCCGGTATCAAACATGTTCATTACTTTCCAGTGAATTTGGCTATTTCCAAGTATAGGGGCCCCTACTGCCCAAACTAAATGGGTAGGTTCCTGTTGATTTCCTTTGAGCTCCGTTTACGAGGGACCCCGTCTTTTGGGAAATACCCACTTGCATCTGCCTGTCACTTTCGGCCTTCGGCCCAGGTCGTGGTGCACGTTGGCGAAAGCCGGGAGCCACAATGTAGTCTCAGAGGTCCCGAAAGGCGATGCAGTTCTCTACGGTGGATTTCTTGGATTTATCGTGTTAAACCAGCGAGTAAACCTTGCGGAGGAGGGTTGTTCCCCCCAAGGTGAAGCATTCCCTCTAAAGTGGGACGACCCTCCCGCGGTTGCAGGGGTTCTGCGTATCACGGACTCGAATCCAGTGCGACACCCCTTATGTGGTTTTGCCCACGAAGGGGTCAAACGGCAAATTCCCTTTACCCAGGTTGTATTGTCTATCCGCCTGTTGATAGGGCTTGGTATGTTGGTCTGCTCAAACATGCTGTACTCAGTTGTGAAAATCTCTTGTGGTTTGCCGGTTTGCTCCATTTCTAAGCAATGTACCAAAAGGACTGTCTTTTCCTTCCAAGTATTTTGTGGAAAGCGGGTGCACGGGGTCTTGCTCTCAATATTTTGCTCCAAAACCTTCAGAGTCTTGCATGAGGGTTGTAGCGGCTTTCCTTCAGCGGGGTGAGTCATGTCTTTGTTTGGAAGCTCGATCCATTCGCTTGAAGGATTGTACCGACATTAGGACATGTGACAATACAGATTTGCGACTCACTATGGTAGACTTCTTGGTGTGGCATGAAGTCCCCCTGTTCAACTTTCGTCAGCTGGGGAACACTACTACACGACGGTTGTCAACAACATGTCGTTCATCTTCAATTTAAACTGCGTTTGCATGATACGTAGTTACTCCTCTCTGTAGTTAAGGGTTAAGGGTCCTTGGCTCACATTGGGGACAACGACACGTGTCCAGCAGTTCTAGGATTATACCCTAAGGCATGATCCTGCCATGGACGGGTCAGCAATTTGGAAGTCAGAGCATCAAAGGTGTACAGGACTGGTTTTTGATCACAAGGTGCACTAAAGCTGTGTATATAGCCGGGTGTTTGACAGCACGACTTACCCTTTGAGAAGATATGGCAAGCATCAAGCCCAATAAGCCGCACTGAATCAAGATTGGGCATATGAAACACAGAGGGCGCAGATTGGGGGTGCGGGGTTTGCGGGACTGAGATTTACTGCAGGTTCAGCCACCAAAAGTGAGACTAGCTTGTGGGTGGGACAAGGTATTGGTAGGACAGATGGGGGCCCTGCTAAAAGTTGACTTGCCATAGGACATGGCTGTATGTCAAAACAGGCAGACCAACCAGCCTCACAAGTGTTGCCTTCAAAAACACCCACCCGCACAGAAGTAGCGCATGTGGACTAGATCCACGGCACCGCACCGAGGGATCTGACAGGAAGCTTTGTTTTGAGCTTGTTTTTCCAAGGGCTTTCCATTTGTCCTGCCATGGTAGGACACAACTCGCATGCGCAACTTGAAAGAGCAGAAACATGTCAAATCCCCCCTGGAAACCGGTCAAAATCCAATCCGCCCTCAAAAGCGGTGGAACCGGGCCAACTGTCCCCTAGAAACCAGTCAAATTCACCCTAGAAACCAATCAAATCCCCTCAGAAACAGATCAAATTCCCCTAGAAACCCGTCTCAAAACCTGTCCAATTCCGCATAGCACCGGTCAAATTCCCCCGTAGAAACCGGTCAACTTCGGTTGATAACCATTGTATTTGACACCTCCGATGTGGAAGTAACACGATAATAGCCCAGATGTTGTTCTCAAAGTCTGAGCCAGCAGTGATCCGAGATGCAAATGGCAATTCATGATAATCCCTGGAGTATTTCATGTTCGTATGATAGGGACATACCTTTCTGACTTTCGATGTACCCATGTCGAAGAATGCAAGAGCCACTGTGCAGAATGTTCAATCTTTCAGATTGCGTATGTTCACTGTTCTTGGCATGTTTTTTAGATTTGTGGTTCTGTTCATTTTTGCTGGGGGTCTGCAAAAAACAAAATTATTTGCTACCATACCAAGAGTAGATGGTATGTTCAGACATCATGCCAGGTACTTGTGTCTCAGTGCAAGTTAGGCAAAACATGCCGCTCTCCCAAGGCCCGACTTTCTGAGAGATGCGCTTCACCGTTTCACTGAGGTGCATGGGATTTGATTTGGGATCTATTCAAGATGTATCACAAATCAAAACGTTGGGCTAGGGGTGTCAGATGGTATTCTCCTGGCAAGTCTGAATTTCCATCAGGTAGGCATGGTAGTCAGCTGTGTCCCAGCAGATCGTGCTTACATGTGCCATTGTCAAGAGTCACACCTGGTTGATAGGGGCTGGGCACAAACCATCTGGGTGAATTATAATGACCTCACACGACCTCACCCCAAATGGTGGTTTATGTGGGATAGCCCCCAACCACCTTATTTCAGGATGGTGAACTACTATAATTCACCCAGAACCATGGCATTGGATCCAGGAAGTCCATGACCCAAGTTTCGACAGCAAAGTTCTGCGTGCCATGCGCCTTGACCTGTCTCGAAACTCTCTTTGAGTCGGGCCGGAGAGCCCCTTTGGCTCCCAAAGTTAGGGAGGGACCTGTCTCAACATGGAATCTGAAAGCCCCCGCAAACATGGGCTTGGGTGTTTGTTCAATCGTTTGGTTCCCTTCGCATTTAACAATTAGACCCTCAGACGAACCCTTCGTTTGCACAGGTTGAGACAGGCAGTTTCAGTCCGAGTCGTGACCCAGCATCGGTTGCCAATGTCTACATACGCCAGGCTTCATATAAAAAGAGATCGTGCCGAATCGGGTCGCAGAGGGATTTTGCTCAGTCCATTGTGTGGCATGCCAATTGTAGGGCAACAGTAGCAAATCAGCGTTATTTGTGGTGCGTACATGGTGTGGCAATGGGCATAATCACGGCATGACCAGCTTCTACTGTAAGTGGAGTTTACTCAGAAAGTCTTCTCACGCCTTCTCGTGTCAGCACGAGCCAGAGTCTTGGCACATGGCTATGTTTCCCTGAAAGCATTGCGAAGGGTTCTTGGGGCAGAATGACAAGAACACTCGCACAGACAACTTGCACGAGCGCACTTGCTGCAGGCGAAACAAACGCGGATGAGAGATTACAACTAGCTTTCTTTGCGGTGCGGTGCGAGTTGTTTCAAAGGTGATTATGGCAGTGGAATATTCGACCAGGCTTCGCCACAAGATGGTCATTAAAATAATTGTAGCTTTGAAGTCCAAGAACTGTCTAGGCTTGAAGTAAACTCAAGCCACCAGAAAATGTTCACTTTGGATATTAATGCGGAGCACAAAGCTAATTCCGGGTAGTTCCCCTTTCACTGGGAAGCCAATTCACGTTAGGGGGAGTCCTTGGATATGTAGTGTCTTCGGACGAATCCGAGGTTCACATTGAGCGGTGGCAGTTTGAGAGCCGAAAAGCAGCAATATCGCTTTGGTGCGAGAGAAAAGATATGGCCGCAAACAGCCGGCCCAAGCTAAGGCACTCTGCATTTGCCGGCCCACCGGACAAAGCAATCCAGAAAAAACAAGACAAGTTGGAGTTAGACTGGGTGCTCTTTGACTCACATGGTTCAATTCCCTCAAGAGAAACCACATTGGCACGAATATGTTGCTTATTTTCCAGACGCGTATTTACCATCCAGCAAACGGAACATGATCTCCATGGCACTTTGCAACGGACATGAAGCCTTTTGAAAAGGATGTCATGAGTCTGAGATTCGCATTCATCGCAGTCTTGCACTCACAGCGTGCAGGAGTCATTGATACTGCAACTCTAGAGACCCCCAAAAGGGGCGTTGAAGGCGGCTTAAGCGTATTGCTTCGGATGGCTCCGATGCCTTGAGCTCATGGAAGAGAACCCCTTTGGCCCTTTGGACACGAACTACGCTTCAAGGAGCTAGACAAAAACTGGAAACATCTCCAATGGTTGGTTTCCTTTTGGACTTCCCTTTAAATGCCAGCCACAAGGAGTGAGTTCCCCCAAAACAAAATGGCACATCCATGTTCTTGAAAACCAAATATTGAGATGGCAAGGGAATAGTGACTGTATGAAAGCGAACCACCTTGAAAGATTCTGTTTTGCTAGACAGTGGTAAAGAGTCTGGTGTTGGTGACCTTTTTCCGGGGTCTGATTGCCCATTCAGAGAGAGGGGATAGATATTTGTCCTCTTGTTCTCGTGGGCCAGGCCAAAATATGGATATCCCTAACTTGATTGCATGGCCAAGCATGGCACCGCAACCCATAGAATAAGGTGGTGTAATGGCAAAAGAAGGTGGATTTCGCAATGGCAAAAAAACACAGGTGCCCACTGGCAAAAAGACGCTGCAGAATGGCAAAACGAAGCTGCAGCATGGCACAACTTTTGTGCATGTTGCTTGGATGTTAGGACTTTAACTTTTTGCCATCTAGTGGGTTTTCCCATTAAACCACCAAAAGTTGAACTTTTAGCAGGGGAGCAGAAAGCAACCGAGACAACGGGTTGCTCCTCGCAGTTTTTGTCAGAGGTTTCCACATCTTCCACACCCCGAGGCATGCGCTGGCCTGGCGAGGAGCGGCCGTCGCCACTCAGCCCCGCACTGTCGCCGGCGGCTTCGCCGGCGCCCAAAGCGGCGGTTCCCTTCGCGGTGCCTGCGGAGGATGTGCTCAAAGATCGGCGACAGAGCAGCTTGGCCAACGTGTGAGGTCAGGTTTGTTTTTAGCGTTGCTAGCCTCTTTCTTTGTGCTTGCTTGTTTGGTAGTGAGGTGTGCTGGTTTGTCTTCTTGTGTCTGGTAATTCTGCAATAGAAGTCCAGAAGAGAGTGAGCAGCGCGGGCAGCTGCGTTGAAATCACCTCCCCAGCTGATTGTGATTTGCCCTGCCTGCATTCTGTGAATGTGTGCGGATATGTGCGGGTACTAAGTTCTACGTGTGATACGTAATGAGAAGGGCATGCACCGTTGGAATGAGACTCAAGACGCTGAGCAACTTGCCGCCGAAGCACCTTGCCAGGGGTTCATCCTCGCCATGTTGCGGGTGGGCAAACATGTGATTATATCTCAACGGAACAAAACCGGGCCCCTTCTGAGTGTAGCCCCTTCCCAGAATCTCAGAACCTTTTTGCTTTTCCTTCAAAGCATGTTTTTTTGGAGGTGTCAAGCAAATTAGTTCCAAAAAGATAAGTCCAGTTTACTGGGCCTCTGTCACAATCTTAGGTTCGCAGGTCTTCTCAGTTTAGTCCCAGACCTCCAGTGGTGCCCTGGACATCCACGGGGTCCATGGCTTTAGGCGGTCAGTCAGACGGTCCCCGCGAAACATTTGAGGCAAGCAGCGCGAGCTGGTGCAGCTGCAAGCGCAGCTTCAGCGGCTGAAGGACCCGGAGGTGGCCGGCAAGCCGGCTAGCAGAATGTAAGGTGGGCCTTTTTGACTGGAGAGGTGTTGCAAGGAAGTTTAGCAACATATTCGAAGCAACATCTCAGATGAACGTTGGAGCCCCAGGGTGCAGTTTGCTTTCCATTGGTACAAACAAACTGTTTAGACTTGGTTTTGGCCAGTCCCCGGAAACAAGTCGCTGTCCCTTCAAGACTATTTCATATTCTGGCTGCATATGAAACCGAGAATCTCTGAAAAACGGGGAAAAAAAGAAGAAGAACAAACATCCCATGGTCTGCGGGGCGGTCCAGGTATATCCCAATGTCAGTTGCCCAGTTCTCAATGGGTACCGGATCCATTTCCATTCTTTCCAGGGATCCGAATCTTTTCAGGAAACCATGAAAAACCCAGGGGAAAAGAACGATGGTTGAAAAGAATGAATGAGAGAACCCGAGAATGGGAGAATATGAAGTCCATATTTCATGAAGATGATCATTACATGGCTGTGGGTCAAAAATAGGGTAACCCCAAAATGGTTGCCCGATCGGTAAATGCAACCAAGGACCTGGTAACCTGCGGTCCAATTGCTGGTGGTTTTTAATTTTGACCCATACCCACATGACAAACATGGGAGAATCAACCCCTCGAAGTTCGGCTTCAGGACGGCGGCATCGATCGCCTCGCGGACTTGCGGCACTTTGTGGAGAGCGCGGAGCAGCTGACGCTCGCTTTGGAGTCGGCGGGGTTTTCTTTGGGGGGTTCCCTTAAAACCCACCAAAAAGGGGGGAGCTTTAAAAAAAGGTACCCAAGTTAATTTGGGTTTGTCAAAAAGTAGCCCCACAAAAGGTTGGTTTCAAACCTCTTGGTTGCCCTTTGAAACCAACCCAACACGGGTTTCAAGAACACATACCAATCTGAACGGAATCATAAGCCGTGACTGGTTAATCGGGGAGTAATTGGAACCCGAACCCAGGAGGGAGATGTCCAACACTTGGGGATCCCTTTGTTCTTTGGTTCCTCGAATTTGTCAACGCCAATTGCTATGATAACCCATGGGAAATAAACCCCTGGTCGATTTATACGGAGGTCCCTTTTGAAATGGAATCTGGCAGTTTTGGTAGGTACACCCCGAAGACCTGACCAGTGGGTTTTGCGCGGTTTCCTGTTGGCTCCCTTGATATAGGCGTGCCTCCCCAGTTTTGTTTGCCTCATTGGTTCCAAGATGGTTTCCAGCACGCCCCAAACCACCCCGCACGAAAATCACGTGGCAACCAGCTTCTATTTGAGGGCAGCGGCAATTTCTTGTCAACCCCAGTTTATTTATAGGGGGGCGTCCTTGGGTTTAGTGGGACATCATCACTTTTGCAGGAGGAACTGTCTCCCCAATTAGGTATACCGGTTGGTTGAAAAATTCAACATGGGGTCAACATCTTTGTGAAAACCCCTCGGTCAGACGTGCCCAGGAAAGCGGAGCTGCTACTGCCAGATGCCCAACTAGACGCGCTCGGCTGGCCACGAGCCTTGGAACGCACGTCTTTGTCTTCGGTTGCAGCGATGGCGGCGGACAAAACGACACCCATTCTTTGGTGCATCTTGCTTGGCTGTTAGGACTTTAACTTTTTGCCAACTAATGGGTTTTCCACTAAACCACTAAAAGTTAAACTTTTAGCAGGGGAGCAGAAAGCAACCGAGCATTTTTTGTGCTACAATGGGTGTGGCGTTTGTTGATATCCTTTCTTGGTGGTTGGAAAGGAAAACTAAAGGAAACGCCACCAATGTGGGCTCCCCTAAAAACGACACACCCGTAGGTTCAAAATTCAATACTCTCTCCGGGGGTCTACGAGTTGTCGCGGATCCCGGTTTGGGGGATCCCTACCAGCAAAAGGACTCTTGTGAGGGACATGTGACAATTTGTCGCAGGAACTTCCCTGGTCTGGTCGTGTCTTTTTTTGCTATGTTAGGTTTTGAGTTGCTTCTAGGATGTCACAAGTGAGTTAAAGAGAGGTGGCAGTGTGGGTTGGTTGATGTGCATCGAGGGGATGCGCCGCATACTTTATGGGACTTAAACATCTCGAGCAAAAGTACAATCGCTGGATTGGAGATGTGTGCAATATGTGCAAGAGTGAAGAAGCGTGGGTGTGTGCATGCACGTGCGTGTTCGCGTGCGTGTGAGTGTGCGCGTGCACGTGCGTGTGCGTGTGGGTGTGCGCGTGTGCGTGCTTGCGTGCGTGCGTGCGTGCATGCATGCATGCGTGCGTGTCTCTGTGAGTGTGTGCGTGTGTGCGTGTGTGTGTGTGTGTGTCGGTGGGTGTGGGTGTCGGTGTGGGTGTGGGTGTGGGTGTGGGTGCGTGCATGCGTGCGTGCATGCGTGCATGCGTGTGCGTGTGCGTGTGCGTGGGTGTGTGTGTGTGTGTGTGGGTGTGGGTGTGGGTGTGTGTGTGGGTGTCGGGGTGCGTGCGTGCGTGCGTGCGTGCGTGCGTGCGTGCGTGCGTGCGTGCGTGCGTGCGTGCGTGCGTGCGTGCGTGCGTGCGTGCGTGCGTGCGTGTGCGTGCGTGCGTGCGTGCGTGCGTGCGTGCGTGCGTGCGTGCGTGCGTGCGTGCGTGCGTGCGTGCGTGTGTGTGTGTGTGTGTGTGTGCGTGTGTGTGTGTGTGTGTGTGTGTGTGTGTGTGAGTGTGTGTTCGCATGTGTCTTTGCATGTGTGTGTGTGTGTGTGTTTGTACGTATCCTGATGTTTGCTTTTGGTGCCTGTGTGTGGGAGAGAGAGAGAGAGAGAGAGAGAAAGAGAGAGAGAGACAGAGAGAGAGAGGGACAGCGTGCGTGTGTGTGGTGTGTGGGTATGGGTGTGTTTGGGTGTGTGTGTGTGCTGTGTTGTGTGGGCGTGTCTGTGGGCGTGTCTGTGAGTGTGTCTGTGAGTGTGTGTGTGTGTGTGAGTTTGTGTGTGTGTGAGTGTGTGTGTGTGAGTGTGTGGGTGAGTGTGTGTGTGTGTGTGTGAGTTTGTGTGTGTGTGTGAGTGTGTGTGTGGTTGTGTGTGGGTGTGTGTGTGTGTGTTTGCGTGTGGGTGTGTGTGGGTGTACGTGTGTGTTTGGCTTGTCCTGGTTTTACAAAGCCTTCGCTAAGCAATTAGTACAGTGTTGCCAATTTTTATTTAGTAAAGACTTTTTGACGACAGTAACTGTTGATGAAAGCTGTGGAGTTTGCCAAGGCTATGCAAGCATGCTTGTAGCAATATTCAGCTTGAGCTTTCTAGCACGAGGCCTCATGAGCCTTGCGGGTTGTTTGAAGTTGACCGTCGGAGGCGTGTCTTCACATCTTGCTCTTTCTGAAAATCACGGACACAGCTCCAAGTGCTACCTTGAGAAACCAGTATGTTTCTATGATCTCTTTCGGACGTTGTTCTTTTCATTGAGAGGTTGGCTGAAATTGCAGCAGAGCTGGCCGGCCACAGATCACAAGCTAAAAGTTGTAGTTCACCGCTTGGTCCTCTTGGTCTCCACCGCACGCGCGGTACTGGTTTAATTTTGCAAACTAGTTAGACGGTTGCCGAAACAGCTGCCTTGACGTGCGTTTGCACTTTCCCAGCCTGTTCCGTATTTGCGCAAGGGTGATTTGTCATGACATACCTTTGCCCCCCCGCTTGAAGAGGTCCATCAATTTGACAGGAGAGAAGTCTTAACAAATATGGAAGCAGCTGCTCTTGTAACTCCAACAGTGGCTTTGGGTAGAGCCCTTTGATACCCCTGCTTTTCAGTGACATTACGCTTTCCGTTTTGTTTGTAGTTCCCATGCTAAAAAATGTCCACCCCCTCCCCCCCCCCCGAAGAAAGGAATACTACCCCGAACAAGATGTGTCTTGTCTCTACCTTTGCGGCTTTTGTCACCTGAAATACCCACCCGCGGTTGCCGGCCGTCGTTGGGGTGGGGGCAACTGAAATCCCCCCCCCAGTCCCCGGCTTCCGCCTTCCCGCAGCTCCAGCAGCCGCGAGGCAAAGACGTGGCGGAGCTGCAGGACGCTTTGAGACGCCTGGACCGCTGGGATGAGCTGCTGCTCGAGGCTGGCGCTTTTCTGTCGCCTGTGCCATCTGTCCGATTTTAACGGTCTTCCCTGTAAAGTTCACCGACAAGAAGGATTTGTTTTTGCCCACCACCAGAGACACTAGAGGTATTTCCCTGTTTTTGGAGGGATCAGGACTGTAGTGGAGTGATTTGTTTTGCCCTTTCGTTGAGGAGGGGTTTCCCTTTTACCTTAAACACTTTAAATTTAACCAACAAAATTGTAGTTTCTTCCCGCCACTGGAGGTTTTGGGGGACAATTCTGGTCGGGGACAAGCAAGGGAGCCATGCATTCCTATTTGGAGCTTGATTGTTGGATTTGTTTGAGATGTTTCAAGCTGTTTGTTTGTTTGGCCTGAAACCTTTGACCCGTTTACTGGGTGGAACATGGCTGTCGCGACAATGCTTTGTAAACTGCTTGACTGGTTGCACGGCACGGCTGATTGCAGGACTCGGGTTGGGCAACTTTTTTGAGGAAGCAGAGAACGATTGAGGAACTGCAGATGACTAACTAGGGAATCCAGGCTTCCATGCACAGACGTGGCCATTCCCACAAACGAGCAAGCGAGCAAGAGGGGAGGTTTCAACACACAAGCCAGTCACCAGCTAAAAACCATGCCCCTTCCAATTGGACCATACGCTCCTGGATGTTTCTAACGGAATGACATGAGTTCCAGGAGGCTCAAACCCGTTTATCGCCCTGCCGCGGGCTCAAGAAAAACGGACACCCTCTTGTTGATGTGAAAGGAAACCCACCCCCGAAAAAGGCAAACTGATTCAACTGGGCGCTGGATAGCCGGGCAAGATGCCAGGGGAATCATTGATTGTCCCGTGTTCTTTCGGGGGAACAAGTCATTTTAATCGTAGGCAGTGGAATCGCTTTTTGCATTCGCTCGCCAGATGGGGAAGCATGAAACCGACTCCCTTTAGTGTGCAGCTTCCCACATGGAAACTGCGTCAACATATTCTCCCAAGAGCAAAGGTGAAGATGCAAGCGGGTCCGTTTCACAGGGACTAGTCGTTTTCTCCGGGTTTTATGCTTGCTGCTGGGAGAGTATTGTAACAAAAGGGAATCACCACATACGGCGGTGTTTTATTTTGGGTTTGACCATTCAGGAAGATGTAGGGTGTCAATCATTCATCAACTTTTCAGTCCCTGAGTTCCTTGACTGACCTTTGGCGAAGACCATTTCGTAGTATACCGCCAGTTTGGACTTTGTTTGGCCAGTCCACTCAAGTGAGATAAGGGGACTCTTCCATGCCTTCACTTCTTTGGCCCCGCGAGTGCGCATTTTGATTGCCAAATCCCGGGTGACTCCGCGTGCGGTTTTCCATGTATATACAAGACCTTGAGACTGCACTGCACTGCACACATGCAATGGCACACGTTGGGATTCAAAGTGACATCCTCAAGATTGCCCTCTAAATGCCGCTTGACAGGAGCTCCCAAGAGTAATTTCGATTCCCTTTAAACCAAGGGAACACAACACATAGGTGTTCTTAAGGAAATGGAAGGAGGGTACCTTGCTTGGGTTGGTTTTGAAGGACACGCCAAGGGGAAACTGTCATTTGAATAACAGAATAACACTCAGAGACAGCAACAGAAGAAATCCCCCGTTGTGAATTTTATCACTGGGCCCCTTAAAGTGGGCTAGCCGTTTAAGCGGGCCTCTCGATTTCACTGGACATGTTTTCTCAGATTTCCCGGGGGCGCAGAAAAAACGCCACTGGAAGTCTGAGGTACGGCAGCGGCTGCCCGCAGCCAGCGCTTTGGGGGGCCCAGCACTCTTGAAGCAGTTTCTCGGTTGGTGGGTGGGTAGGTTTGGGATGAAATTCCCTCACTTCCCAAGTTCCGGGACTCGGGCTTTAGCACTTTTCGGGATTTTGGACCATCTTAAGTTGTAAATCGAAAGTTCGAGTTCGGACTTTTTGTGGCCAATCCACTCAGGAGGTGAGGCTATTCCTGTTGAATCCGCTCTTTTAAAGTGCTTGCGGCTAAGGTTCTTGGGTCGGTTCTCTCCAATTTCCTCACTTCAGAATCCGGGTGTGGATTTGCGGCGCGCATATCCGCAAGCGGCAAATCTTTGGGCCAAGTGTCCGTGGAGTAGATATTTCCGTTGAAGTGGGCCAACTCCTTGCTGCAATTGGTTGAAACCAATTGTGGTTGTTCAAAGCCTCCAAATCAATTGTTCGAAAGCAACGTAGCTCCCGTTTTCCAGGGTCGCTGCTTGCTGGGAAAGAAAGGGTGGCATGTACTTAATTGCCGCTCTGCAAATTGACCTGGGCGCCCAACAAAGATCCCCCAAATCTGCAGCGGAGCATGGTAGAAGGTTTTGGGCAACAACCAACATGTCCTTTTTCTGTAAAACAAACAAAACAACAACCATGTTTTTGGGACTGGGGATTGGTTGGTTAGGGGCCTTGTTTTGCGTCTTGTTTACCCCTAAGACCATTTGCCTGGGCGCAAGGCTCGCGCCCGAATCTCACCCTGAAATTCCAAACAAAAGTTGCGACAAACAAACATGTCCCTTGAAAAGTCCAGTTGCCAAAAACAAACATGTCCCTTTAAAATTCCCAACAGTTGCGGCTTGCGTGGGAGGACCCGACCTACTCGGTGCACCGAGGTTGGCGGAGGCCTGGGGGCAGCTGCCGAGCAGCAGCTGCTCCGAGCTGAGGGCCCGTGCCGCCAGCGGCGCCGGGTTGGTCTGCGCCTGGGCAGACCGCCTCAAAGAGGACCGCTCCAAGCCGCTCCAAGCGGTTGGGGGTTGGGTGGGGGGAGGGGGTTGGGTTCGGGGGGGGGGGGGGATTGGGTTGGGGGGTTTGTGGGGGGTTGGGGGGTGGTTCTTGGAGGGTTTCGGGGTGGTTGCAGAAAAGCAGATGAAAGGGAAGATCGGGATTGGTCATCTTTCGGCTCGAACATCGGGTTGGCTTGGTTCTTCATCCAAAGTTTCGGGGAAAATGCGTGTCGCTTGCTTTGTCTCCCCCTTTGGGACCTGAATCGATCTGCTCCGAAGGGGTGTTTGGAGCGAGGACGCGGAGGCCAACCCCGGGCTGCGGCAAAGCCTCGCAGCCGACGCTCGGCTCCCTTTTCGGAGAACCGGAACTGAGGAGACGTTCGGAGACAACCAAAAAAAAGCCTTCGGTTGATGGAGGAAGGTTGCGCTGTTAGAAACATCTGCCAGGCTTTACTGGGATGAAAGTTCAGAGAATCCCCTTGCGGGTCGGGAAACACGACTGAGTGATACATGTGTTGGCATGTACTTCCACCCAACTGCAGTTTTTGTGTGTTTAACCTGTTTGTCTTTCTGGTGCACCAGCACTTTTTGTGGGTTGACCTTTTTGTGGCTCGAGTCGCGTGTATTTTCTTTTTGAACATCGCATGTCTCCGTCTCTGAGGTCCTGTGCGACGCCCGGCTCCGGCCCAGCCTCCAAGCCCTTGGCGTGGACGTACCCGCCGGCTACGCGGCGGCGCCGGCGGAGCGCCCGGAGCGCCCGGCGCCGGGCGCTCCGGCGCGAGGCGGGGGGGTTGGAAAGCGAGCGAGCGAAAGCCACGGTAGAAATGCATCCTTCACTTGGGAATCCATTTCTTATTTTGAGGGTTTGGACATGTTTTTTGAATCTTGTGCAGAAATCACTTCGTGATCCTGATCCTGACTGATGGTGTCCCGTGTCCCACTATTTTTGAACATCCCCGGAAAGCCTTTTTTCGCCGAACGTGGAGTGCAGGAAGCGAGCTCCGAACGCCGCCGGAAGGGAAAGTGCCCAACGTCAAGGTTTCGGCCGAGGACCTGTGGCCTTTGAAGATGGTGTGGGGGTGGAAGTGCGTTTGGAGATCATGATGATCGGGATGATGGGGATGATGGGGAAGACGATGATGAGGAGGACGATGATGATGAGGAGGACGATGATGATGATGATGATGATGATGATGATGATGATGATGATGATGATGATGATGATGATGATGATGACGCTGCTTGTCAGTATTCTTGCAGATGTTTGACATTGACTGCATTATGGTTTGGCAATGCCAAATTTGATTGCCGGAAAGTTGTGTGGTGTAGCATTCTGGTAGTTTGATTTGTTGACTGTCAGGTGTGGCGGTTCATTTCACCTAGCAGATTTTGATTTTGCGGGAGGTGGCAGGGGTACATCCCGAGTCAGACTTTTTTGGCGCGCACACACACACACACACACACTTCGACAAGCACAGAGTGTGTGAGTCCAGGTAAGAGCGGCCATTTTCAAAGGAACGAAGTCCAATTACCAACAGTCCAAGATGCGTTGCCCTTTTTGATGTGTGTTGGGAGGGGGTAAGCGGTACCTGCTCGAACATTGCAAACCAGTCAGGGCTCCTTAAAAGATACATTTTGCCCATTTGAAACATGGCTTTTCCACCAAAATCACGAAAGCTAGCTTTAGCTAGCTGAAGTTTCTCCTTGCGTAAGCAAGGTAAGGGGCTCAACTGCCGAAAGATTGATTTTTTCAATTATTTGAGCCGAAAAGATTGAAACAAATCAATTATTTAGACCCCCCCCCCCTCCCCCCCCCCCCGGTCTCAGGCTCGATTCCTCCTTGGTCCACCCCTCCCCCCGGGCAGTGGCTCAGTGTTTCAGCAGTCTCGGTTTGCCCGTTTTGGACTTGGTGCTACGAACTTTTACAGGTTCCACCGATTCAGCTTGTTCATTTGAGACCTCAGTCTTCTCAGTAAACCACCTCGCAAGAATCTTTGCACACGCAGCATGCAGAACCCAGAGGTGCTTTAAGACAGCTTCTGACGCCTCTCGTTGTTTTCATTTTTCACGGTTTGCCACGCCACCATGTGCGTTTGCGTGTCGCATCCTACGAATCTTGCCGGGCCTCTCGTTGTACACAAGCTACCTATGAATCCACTCTGTCACCGACCCATCTCATGCAACAACTGCTAGCTTTCGTTCACCCGCTCCTCAAGTAAAGGGACACCAGCATTTACAAGGCAATGTTCAGGTGTATAATGTATAATGCATCCGGATCCCTGGCCTTCAGGATCCCTTCTTCATTTGCTTGGCCAAGGGCGACGCTGCAGGTGCTGAGGCGGGCAGGGGGCTTGCCGCAAGTTGGTTCTGTTTGGTGCGGGACTACCCAAACCCCCTCACCCTTCTAAGAACCGTCGGATTCTTAGAGGCTTCTTAGGAGCGTTCTGAAATTCCTTCTCGTGCCCTAACAACTGGCCCTATACTGCAAGCCTGATTTGCTCCAGTTTGCAGGAAGATCGTGGTTTCACGATTTGCCGCCCTACCTAGCAAGAAGGCTCTAGTATGCTCTAGTTGCTTTGCTGGAGAAGGTGGCAAAACGTGCCTAGAGACCCAAGAAGGTTCCTGAGCAAATCGGGTGATACACAAAAAAAACAACAACTTGCTACCAGAACAAACATGGGACTGAACACCAAGCGTGTGCTCATCTAACTAGGATCCGACAAATGGACAGCTGGCTTTGTCGTTCTGAGGACTCGCAAAGGTACCCCGGCATGAGCGTGGATATTTTCGAGCTTGGAGCCAGCTGGACGGTTCAAACACATGACACTTCGGTGCATGCGACGATGTTCAGCGGCCGATCCGCAGAGCTTCCGACTTGCGCAGGCAGCCGTGGTGCGAAGACTCAGCCGGCGCGCCCATGTTGGTGAACAAGATCTGGTGTGTGGATTGGTACCTCACGTTCTGCCAAGCACATAAATGTGCTATGGGGTTGGGGTTTGGCCTTGTTGAGCCAGGATGTGTGCATGTTGGAGTCAGACTGCGTGAGCAAGCTGGTGTTGCAAGAGCCGCGACTCATTGGTCAAATTATAGGGACCTGTGATAAAGGTTCGTTCTTTTTGTTGAGCCCTGAGTTTCGATCGCCGAATCATAATAACTTCCAAGATGAATTGATGGTCAGATGATGTGCGAGGTTGACAGAGTCTAAACCCGACTTGTCCTTGGGCACAATGTTGTTTTGACGCCAGTGATGCTGACCACGGATTAGATATAGATAGCAGCCAACGTCAATTAGAGCTGGTCCATTGAAGAAAAGCATTGCATAGCCCGGTTTGAGGAGGGCCTTGCTGGATGTGCTTCGTTAGTCCCCTATGCTGCTGACGTACTCATGTATTGTCGCTCACAGATCCACGGTTCGCCGAAATGTGTCGTGCCTTTGGCTCGCAAACCAGCAGAGCCATTACATGTCGTCAAACGATGGCATCAACCTGCGAAAGGGCCAAGCAAAATGTCGCTTGTGGTGTGAGAAAGGGCCTTGTGCTTGTCCTCTTGCGAGCCTTTTCCCGGACACCTCACCTCTAGAGCCTCTTGCTTGCTCCATCAAAACTTGGCCAAAGTGCAAAGCAAAAAACTGGGAAACGGGCGCATGTGACTCGCTTGATGCCTTCCCCCCTTTAGGCACCCGGAGGTCGCCATGGCAGAGGGGTTTTGACTGAGGAGAAGCTGCGCGGTGCCCGGGCGCTGCCGCCCGAGCCTGGGAGTCTGGGAGCGAGGCCACCGGAAAGCTCGGCAAAAGCGAAAGCTCCGCAACCAACAAGCTCGGTGTTTCATAAACAGACCTGGCTGTGGTGGTCAAAAATGGGCAGCCCCAAAATGGGTTGCCCTGGTATATAATTGGTAATTCAATGGAATTGGTGGTTTAGTTTTGATCCATATCCACCTGCAAAGCTTCATGGGCAGCGTCACCCAATGCCTGCAATCTTGCCTGCGGTGCTGATGTTGTTCAGGGGCTCGAGATGACTTGATCATTTTGCCCTTTACAGAGTGGCACCGCGCCTTTCGTGCGGTCTGATTGTACATTGAGCCATTGTCGACACTCGTCTGTATAGCTGGGTGTTGTCTTGGAAGTGCACGAAGAGGATGAGTGCCATCATCAGCACCATGATCCTCATTGATGTAACTGAGTGTAACTGAAATCATGGAGACATCGAACACATGCCCGTTTAGGTCAGCCTCAACGGGCGTTGGCAGGGCAAATCGCTTTGAGTATGTCGTGACACTTCAATCTCCGGCATTGATTATGTACAGGAGTCACCAGGGATGCCGGGTGGACAGCCTGAGCAAAGTCGAGCAAGAATAGCAAGCATCATGCTCTGGAAAGCAAATAGTAGATGCAGGGCATCTCCCCGGCTCGGCGGGGAATCGCAATCCCCTCAACAGCGATCCATGAGGGTGAACGCTGGTGATTCATGAGTTTGATGCGATTTCCTTTGATTGTAGGAGCGCCCAAAAGGGTCCCTCCAATCCCAATGGTTAGAGGCTAATATCGCCAAACAGAGCCTACCCTTGACAGCCATAAGGTGACCGTTCCCATTAAGGAAACCATGATTATACATTCAGTGTTTGATTACTCGGAGGCCAAGTGCTTGGTGAACAGTGAACCTGCCACCTTTGAACATGTTGCTGTACAAATCAGAGTAATTTCGCAGGACCCTTCTTGGATGTTGGGGCCTTTCAAAAGCTATTTGCCAAGCATCCAAACCAACCCAGGTGCGGGGGAAGAGACTAACCGTAGCCAGAGACGCTGATTCCCGTCACTTCCGGAAGAACGTGAGAGAAAGTGAGGAAGGGCATGATGGGGGGGGGGGGGCAGCAATTCTTGGCGATGTCCCTTTGATGTTTCTTCAAAACGACAAACCCAAAAAGGGCACGCTCCCACCAAGAAGGATGGACGGGTCGCGTAGGCTCAACAGAAAGACATCCACCCATATTATGCGTCAAATAGGGGACCCCTTGAAACATGCAAAACAATAACCCTTCAAACCAACACACACACACAGTCACACACATATACATATATATATATATATACATACATTGATTCTCTGCTGGAGAAGAAGCAAGCAGGGCTATCATTTTGTCTGAGGCCCAAAAGCAGCGCCTTCTCAGCCGCTCTGGCGTTCGGGCTCCAAGTACCGAGCGGGAAGGCCTGGGTCCATTTGCTCGGATGGCCAAAGTCCACTTCGCACCACTCGGTTTGTCTCAGAGGGTGGAGAGTAAGTTATATGGTAAGGGGTTGAAAGGTTGAAGCGCCAACGAGAAAGAACGAGGCCATTTTATTTTCCGAACATTACCCATTTGCTCAGCGGATTTCACTCCCAGTTTTCCCTCAAACGACAGGAGGGGATGAACCAAGAATGGCAGCAGCCTCTTGCGATTCGATACTCCATTGCTTGGTGGAGTCCATCCATTGTCTCTTTGTGTGCACTCGAAATGACGTCACAAGTTCAGCCAAGGAGTCTGGAACTTAACCCATGGTAACAGAATGTGTCACTCTGGCGAGTTATTCTGATGCAGTACAGTTGCGGTCTATCCAGGATCCCGGCAATCAATACGTACGACCTTGGGCGATCTAAACCTTCATGTGCGTGAGACACGCACGGTTGCAACGGAGATCGGTCCACCTGCGGGTGGTTCGCAAAGCCAGGCCTTTGGACCAGATGTCTTCAGGTCCCTTGGCATCCGCTGAAAACCATGTGCTGAGTTCTGAAGTCCCATGGGGAACCGGCAAAGCAACACGGCGCCTGCGCACGACGAATTCTTTGTTGGCCTGTGTAGGTCGGAGCCTTGCACCCTGTTGTTTGCCAACGCGTTGATGAAACCTCCCAGGGGAGCATCTGTGAGGCGCTATGACGCACGATGATTATTTGCCTCTTCATTGGTGTCGACCACTGAACGCTTGATGACTGGCGAACCATGGACCAAGTTGTTCATGGACCCCTGAATCAATTTGTCCAGGGTATCACGGCACCCCTTGGAATATTATTTGGAGTACTGTTGGAATGATTTTTGGGGCGGGGTGGCTTTGGGGGTACCCCTGAAAGTTTCTTGTTTAAAACAAAGTCGTCCCAGGAATCATGTTTGATATATTGTGGACATGACGCGGAAATGTGAAGAAAAAACAGCTCGGAGTTTGGAATCAAATCGCTTGAAAATGGCAAGCCATTAATCCTGGAACCCAACTACTGTCAGAAACAAATGTTGATGGTGGTCAAGAACCCTAAGAAGTTCCCCCTGTTTAGTGGTCTAGAATTGCTCAGGGGCGTCCTTTTTCCTTTGTGTTTCGTGGGGTTCTGCTAAAACGCTACTCCCAGAGCTCGTTCTGGTCATTTGACCGCATGACCACATGATGAGTGGGCCACTGTGGCTGGCCTTGGCTCAGGCATGGCCTACCCGGGGTTGCCTGGCGTGTATGGCCGGTGCCTGAGACAAGTGGAGTCTGTGCGGAGGTGTCCCAGCGGTGCCGAACTGAAAGAGACGGGCTGCTCATCTTGGTGGCTCCCAGCCATCCCCTTCGCTTTTTAGGCTTTTAGTTGGTTTAGTGGTAATTTTCATTTAACCCACTAAAAGTTAGTCACTTTTAGCAGGGGATCTGAGGGCAGCCCGACGAGAAAAAGCTAAAGTTAAAGATGTGAGGGGTCGGTATGCCAGTCTTCCACCCACCGTCGTGCACCAACTTCGCGTGGAAGGGCCCTGTGTTGAAAGCCTGTCACTGTGTGTTAGGTAGTTGGGCTGGAGTGGTTGGTGCTGGTGAATTGGTCGGAGTGGTCAGGTTGGTTGGATTGCTCACATTGTTTGGACTGGTTGCATCGGTTTGGACTGGTTGGGTCGGGGTGGCATTGCTTTGATTGCGTTGGATTTCGTGGATTTGGTTAGCAATGAAGTTTCTGCAGTCGCTCGGGGCTCAGGCAACGCTTTCCACCAGAACATCCTTCAGGCAAGCAGGGCCCAGTGAGCAACTCCAGGCAGGTCCCAGGCATAGGCGTGGGTTGCGCGCAATTAAGAGATCACGGCCGATGTGTACCGCCTGAAAAAGTGGATACCCAAAAGGGCCCCGGCTTTTGACAAACCTTCATGTGTTCTTGCAGTGTACTGATTTGTTAGGTTCCAAGGAACAGATGACGGCTGCCTGATTCAAACTCCAAATTTGCTAGGCACCTGGATTGAAATAAACCTGACTGCGAAGCACAAAACCCCGGCCGCGCAATGCAAAACAGAAGTCAAGTCACTTGCTGACTCTGCACTTCGGGGCTGGCACTAGTTCCTGTCTTGTGACGGAATTGGGTTGTTTGAATGAGACCATCGCTACAACTCTACGTGCCAACTTCATCATCCGCAGCTTCAAGGCTATGTGCCATGGTCGAAAGACCCTTCAACTTTGGAGGTTTGTACGGTTGGCCATCAAACCCTCAATAAGTTGTTGTTTTGCTTACACACACAGCAACAACAGTGTGAGTTTCCATCAAGGAAGCCATGAGCATTGCGCACAGAATATTGCGTAGTGCATGTTCCGTATGGCTGCCTCGGCAAGCTACGACTGCTCTATGGTCAATTTGGGAGCGACACATGGAGCGTACTAAATGTCCCGTTCAACACGAGGGGGTGGTGGGTGGGGGGAGTCCATGTCACGCGTAGCGTCACTCACTGACAGTTTAATCATCTACCCTCCCTCCAACAATCATGGAAGTTGACAGGAGAGCTTTGGAAGACTATTTTCCGTTTGGGGAACCCCTTTGTGCACTTCCATGATTGTTGGAAAGAGGCTGAAAGAGGGTAGTTGTTTTTCAGCCCATGATTTTGGAATTGGAGTTGATGTTTAGCTTGCAACACTTGTTTAGCGTGTTGAGACCAGAGACCGTATGGCTTGTCGAACTACAAAGTGTGGTTTGGTTGCAAGAATACGCCATGCAAGTGCTACCCCTATTTCTCCGCTTTGCACGATGGTGAGTCATGATCCCAAGACACGATGCGGGTGTGTTGGGCCGATCTGAACTTGCAACAGGGCGCCAACCTTGTTTGTTGAATCCCGAACCAACAAGGTCAACAACAAGGGGATCGAAAAACGTAGGATTGGGAAATAGCCCCCCTTTCTACATGTTTGGCGCTGTTGCTCTGCTACTGCTGTGTGCATTGCTGGATGCCGAGGGTGAAGGACTGGGGTTTTCAGGGATACTGCTCATTTCAACTGGCAGGTGTTGAAGTATCTGAGTGCGATGCTTCCGGAGACTCGCCTCTCGGAAGCAATTGGAAGATGGGACAAGTATCCCCAGAATTCCTCGAGTTTTAACCGGACCTGTTAATTGGATTTCGAGAGTTCCTTGTGGGAGGTCTACTTTCCTGTAGTGAAACCTTCCTGAGCACTTGCAAGAGGGTACATAACGGGTCTCACCAAGCAGACCTGTAACACAAAGCAGGTGAGACATGCAGACAAGCAGTGCAGTTTCCTATGGTAAAACAAAGCAGGTGAGACATGTGTCACATTTTCCCCTCGGTAGTTGAAGCCCGTTTGAGGCTTCTGCACAGCATCTGCCGGAGCAAGAAGTTCGACCGCAAAGCCTTCGAGCCGAGCCCCCGATTTCGTTGCAAATCAACCTTTGGATCTCCGGTTCGGTTTTCGGCTTGTTTGTGTTGACCTGAGGTTTTTTTGGGGGGGACTTTACCCACAACTAAAAAGCAGTTTTTGCCAGCCGTATGGGCTTTGGGCAAGAAATGCATGAGAGCACATGATGTGTTGCGCTGCGCTTTGCTGGTGGAGAGAAGTGCGTGGGCTTTCAACAAAGACAAGAGCTGTATCTTGCATCTGGATTCCGCTTTTGACATTCGGGAAGCCCCCTCTTTTTATCCATCAAAAGAATCCCAATCCTTTTGAGAGCCTCAAAGAGGGTTGTTTTGGGCAACCTTGCCTTATGTGCCCCGGAGGGTTCTGGTGTGTCCACCGCGGCTTCATGGATAGGCACACGAGAAATCCGTTTGGGGGCGCTTGCGGTTAGGCTACTGTTCCGAATCCAGGGATGAGGGTTCTCGCCTGTGTGGCCTTTTTCGTCAATTTGGTTAAGCATAGGCACTGTTACAGTTTGGTTTTCATCATGTACCGCCGTGATTTGTTTGCCTTGGTCTGAGGTTGCACAAGCAATGCTGGAATCCGTAAGTTTGCCTGTGGTGACTATTCCTTTTGCAGGTTGGGTATTTTTTGGTGCTCCCCTGTCGATTTATTGCGGGAGAGTCCGCTCAAGCGGAAGTGTCCGTTGATTAGAGGAGCACATTTTTGACGGGTTCTAATAAACGAGCATCAGCTTGCACAGGACAATCACCTGGTTGGTATCCTAGAACCTTCATACTGTGCATGGGCGAAATCCATTTCGCACCACCGTTCAGATCTGTTGGTTTCTGATTGGATTCCCCTTTAAATACCAACAAACGTTATGGTTTTTAAACATGGTTTCATTTCGTGGTGCGAAGGGATTTCGTAAGCATCCACAGTAGAAATAGGTCAAAATTAGACCACAAGGATATGGACCGCAGGTTTATTCCATTTCCATTTGCCAGGGCAATCCATTCCTAGCTGCCCAGTGGTGCCCCTTTTCTTTTTTTTTGGGACGGGTTCCCCGTTAAAGTCAACCAACCAAAAAATCGGATGCCCTTAACCCCAAAACCCCAAAAACCCAAAACCCCAAAACCCCAAAACCCCAAAACCCCAAAACCCCATTCCCTTTTTCCCCATGGCCACTGGGCATCTGAGCATCAAAAATCAGCGAGGCTTTTCTCCCAGCTGCTGCGCGCAGTGCCCGCAGAGCTGCGGTGCCGGGGCCCCGCTCCGGGATGGCGATAATTTCATGGCGGTTTTCAGACTTTTCCGGGGAGTGGGATTTCTTGGCCAGCCCAGTCCGGTTTGAAAAGCTTAGGTTTTCCAGCCCGGTTCCTTTCCTTGGGTTTTTGAGTTGGTTTAGTGGTGGGGTTTCCGAATTTAACCCATTCAGCTTCTGGGGCATCTGAGGGCAGGCTTTGGGATTACCCTGGTTCTTGTGGGGAAATTAGAAACCACATAACCTCCAAGGCAATCTAGAAATTCCAAGGCTCAAGCGGAGGGAAGCTTATCTTTTCAGGGAACCAACTAGCAGGGATACCAGGGGAAAGGGATACAGGAGGATTCCCCCTAACTGCACCTTGACTGAGTTTGATATGGGAAATGGCGCCAAGGGAACCCCCCATATCCCCGCTCCCTCCCTATCCCCGCTTGTTTCAATCTTTGGGCGTTCTAAGAGGGCATGTGCTGACTGCTGGGCTCATATGTGGCCACTTTCAGATTGAGTTTAAGGCTGATACCATGTCGCCACTGCATCACTGCTTTTGTGGCCTCACCGTCACCAAATGCAACGAATCGTTTGGTTGCATTCGCAATATCGTCGTTGTGTGAGTCTGTCCCATTTCGACGCAATCCACCAAAAGTACGACGCTGCGTGTCGCCCCCGAGGCTAGACATATGGATGTGCGTGGTTTGAGGGTACTCATTTCAGGTTGGTTGAAAGGGACACCAAAGGAAAACCACCACTTTGGGGTACCACCATTTTGACGCATACCCATAGAATACACATAATCTGACTCTGGCTGGGATGCTTCCTTTGAGCTTGGTGCTGTCTCCTGGCATTTGTCCGCGCTGAGGTCACCGCAACGGAAGTGGTGGGCATCTCAGCTGACCTGCAGCCAATCAGCGCAGCTGGTGATGGCGAAGCCCAAGTCAGGTGTTCTGGTAAGGGAGTTGACATGGGGGCACCTCGCCCACAAACTTAACACGTATAAAAATGGGTGTTCCGCGCCAAATTCCCATTTGAATTCGGAGATGCGATTTTGACCATGGCTGATTTTCACAGAAGCAGCATGGACCTTGTCTCTCAGTTGCCACGGCGCTGCAAGTGGCCGTTCAGGATTGCTTCATTCCGGGCAGCCCAGTCAGCGGTGCATTTCTGTTGTACTGTGTATTTGAGGTACTGTAAACGCAGGGAGACTCGAAGAAATGCTATGTGTTCAGAGTTTTGAAAGGCCACTCTTTGAGCCCTGCAACACTACTTGTCGGCTGAGAAGCCCCACAACTCGCATTCGAGCTTACTCGGTTATCCAATCCCTTTGTTTGACAACAATCAACTTGCACACACTGCATGCTTTTCTATATAGATCGATATATATATATATACATATGTACTCTATGGTTTCTGGTTTGTTTCTTTGGATCGGATACAGACACATGACTCGATACAGGAACTGTCCCAAACTTGTTTGAGGTTATGTCCCTGTGTTAACAGGAAATCCAAGACATTCCCTCCAATACTTATTTTCCCGTCCTGTCCCTCTTCCTCGCTACGCCCTTTGAATCTGCTTGCCCTTCCGGTTGGCCCTGAAGAGGAACTTATGAACCCTGTCCAGACCTCGAACTGTTGAACAACTCTTCCACTTGTGAATGTGATGGAAACGGCATCTGAATTCGATGGCAGTATATAAATTCATGCAGTGAGGCTTGCAAGAACAAACTCCCACATCTAAGTTTGTCCTTACAGGGCTGGAACCCATTGCTTTTCGAGCAGAGAGGTTGAGTCCAGAACATGTGCTTTTACAGGCATGGGCCATAGATCCAGAAGAGAAGAGTATGTATTCGATCTGGTTTCAGCATGGACGGCTCGAGCTCAAGCATTCGACCACCAGTTTGAATGTGCACTCCATAGTGCATGAGTAACACATCCACCATTCCAGGTAAATATGCAAGCTCCTATGGTGTTTAGGAAAACATGTTGGTTTCCAGAAGCTGCTCGTTCCAGTCCGCGGTGAAAGCAGATAGACTCCATATGATTCCATCCCCTGCCCTTACCCACATTCAGGGAGAGGCACCAGCTGCTCCCCTCCAAATTAACATGGAACCCAACAATCCGGTCCCTCAAATGGAGATTGCCCTAAGAATGGCATTTTGGGAGGTTTATATGGCTGTGGGTCAAAACCAATGGTACCACTTTGGGGGTTTCGGTGCACCACCCAGTTTAGAGCCTATTTTAGTGGTTGGATTGGGATGTTCACTGGGGGCTAACCGATTTGGACTTTGAAAAGCCCATGGTCATATCCATCGGGAACGTTCAAGCCGCAGGTCAGAGCTTCCTCCACGTGGCGGCCGCCAGGCTGAACACCCAGATCCTGGCGGGGCTGCGATCCGCTTCTCGCGCGTCTTGCGATCGTGGGAGAGAGAAGCTCTCCAAAGTCTTCTCTTTGGCAAACCGCCGGATTTTTCTCCGCATTTGGAAAGTGTGGCTGTTCGCACCCCGCCTTTTTTTTTGCCTGGCCTGTAAACTTTCGGTTTCATGAGCTTTGTCAAGCGCCCCTTTCTCAATCATGGAAGTGGGTTCCGGGGGCGTTCCCAGAAGGAAAGTAGTCTGCCAAAACCATCCTGTCAGCTTGCATCGTTGGAGGGAAGGAAGGGCTGAAACTTGCTTGGCCAGTCCTCTGCCGGCACGGAACATGCTAATAAGCGGAATGTGTGCTGAAAGGAGCACCCCACCGGTTGGTTGAAGGGAAGCCAAGAAAACTCTCTATCCGGAGGGGCAGGGCAAATAGTTCGTGTGGGTGATTGCGATTCATGCCAAGGATCTTTGGAACAACATCTTCGTAACATGTGGCAGGCGAGCGATTGGCGTTGAATGCGCTCACAAAGTTGTTTTTCCAAAACTATCATGGCAGCTGTTGGTTTGAGCCATGTTTTGCATCATTCCTTGGCATGTTCAGCCCAGCCTGGCTCGCATGCCTTCACAAGACAGACTCCATAAATTTGTCGGTTAGCCTCGCCAGCATTTCAGCTGAGCCCGGGACCAATTACCCGGGTTGGGAAGATCATGTTAGCGGGGCTTCATTGAGTCTCCCAACATTCACCGCAATCAGGGTGGCAAGCCTACACAGCATTGACACGACCTTTTTCAATTAGCCCATACTTCATTGTTCAGCCACCCACTGCATCGTAGACCTCAGATTGTGGAAACCTCAAGCCTGAAGTTGGCTCCTGGATGCGCTGCTGTCGCGTCCATGGGTCAGGCCGCGTCCCTCACGGACTTTCCGGCGCTGGCCCCACTCTTTGCGCTTGGCTCAGCGAGAAGCTGGAACCGCAGTTGTGTTTTTGGCTGTCGTTGGTTTAGTTGATGTGCCCTCGCGATTTCATATTTAGATTGGGGATGGAACAACCCTTGCAGGCTTTCTCTGCACAAACCCATTGAACTGGTTCTTTTGTACAAATTAATGCTGTTGGTGTTCCATCTGTATCGCGCACGTGGCGGTTGCATCCAAAACATATTTCACCCATGCATCCGACGCCAAGGCTCAGCAAGATTCCGCTGGCGCGTCGCCTATGTCAATCTTGGTAGGGATCCTCAATCGGAATCGGTGAAGCCCCCAGATTGTGTGCTCAGTAGATTCCACTCGTCTCCTTTTTGTGTGATGGGCATGCTGATCAACCCCAAAAGCGTTCTCTTCTTCTACCAAGGTCAACGGGCTACTGGGGCACGTACTGGGTGCAGGGATAGAGGTACCAGATTTGATTCATTCGGAGGGAGTGTTGAATCCGACGTGGGCATGATTTCTTGGCAGCGCAGGCAAAGCAGACTGCGGCAAACAACACATTGGCTGCTGTACTGTCGACCTGCTGAGCTCCGGTGCTATACGATAGACTTAAACGAAACAAACGGCCACAGAGCCCAGGGAAGTTGGTCATTTATTGGTGACTCTTGGAGTGAAGATTCCGTTCGAATTCATCTAAGAGCTTGCCTTTCCACAAACTCAAGTGATGGACGGTGCTTTGAATATGTACCAGCAGTCAGGTGCTGTTGCGAAAACACCTACCAGAACTACCTAGTGCAATTCCGAGTGATTGTTGAGGGATCACACAAAAGCGCCAGACCCTTTCTTGCGCCTGGTACATCATACTGCATCAGTGCAGCGTGCGTGCTTGCGTGGGCAGGTGTGTGCCTAGGTAGGTGGTTGGCTGGCTGAGCGGGTGGGCGCTGTGCGGGAGCCATGACTCATGGGGATGGCCTCCATTCGCTTCACGAATCATGAAGCTCGGCGGGGATGGTTTCACATTGAACGGCAACAGTTGAGGCACTTTGCACTACACAAGAGCTCAGTTGCAGATGGCCCAGTTTGCTTTCATGACGAAGTGACATCCAATTCAGGATTGCTCCGAGCCAGCAAACTAAAAAGGATCCCTGGGGTGTCTCTTCACCAAGAGCAAAATTTTGACCCATCCCCTCTCCCCCACGCCTCAGTGATCCGTTCTTGGCGCTTGAGGCCAAGCATCTGGCTGCCCGGGGCCGGCCACAGCCCCCGTGCACGGAGCAGAACAAGGCCTTCGAAGCGCATACGCCCAGCGGCGCGGAGGTGGAGGTGGAAGTTGAGGACAGCCGATCGCTTGGCTCGGAAAGTTGTGCTGGTTCCGTGTTTTTGTTTTTGGTTTTTTTCTTCTCATACGGCTGTGGTTGTCAAAAATCAACCAGGAATTGGACCGCAGATTTTATTTCTCATACTTCCATTTGCCAGGGTTGAATCTTGGGTACCCATTTTTGAGCCGCAGCCATACCAAGCTGCTCTTGACGAACTGTTGCCTGCGAAAGAGTAGCTTGGTTCCACTTAGCGTTCAGGCCCAGGGAATTCGGGAGGCTTCAACTGCAATTGCCCTGCCGCTCGCATTTGGCGCAGGACGAAGTCTCTGGCAAGGTGTGCTTTGGGCTCAGTGCAGGCGCTAAATTGTGAGACCTTTGTGGCTTGTGTTTGCAGGAGAGCACGGGGCAACCAACCGTTTTTGTGGCATACACAGTTTTTAATAGCCTATACGACATCCATGGCACAACCACCAAGCCCTGGAGTCAGGGTGCTTAGATTTCCCGTCCGAATGCCCCAAATCGTGCAAAGTTTGGGTGGGACATGTACCCTCCCTTCCACTAATGCCGGGTGGATGCGCCTGGATTGCATCCCCTCTCCAATCACGGAAGCTGACAGGTGTTCAAAGAAAGCTTTCCATGTGGGTAACCGCTGCTTTTCATCTTGGTGCTCAGGGAACCCGGGGCTTTGGAAATGAACCTCGACATTCCCTAGGAAACCAGAGGGGATGGTCAGGTCATTCCCTTCGCTGAGCAGCAAGTCATTTGGACCCTGTGACGACTTTGCCGGACAGATCCCCGGAACCACTTCCCTGGGCCCGTCTCAGGTCTTAGGTTCAAGGAGTCGGTGCTACGCCTCTCTCAGCGCTGCAGCGAGGAGATGAGGAGAATGGGTAGCGGGGGGAAGGTGGGGGGGGGGTGGGGGGAAGTTGTGGGGGGAGGGAGGGGAGGTTTGTGGGGAGGGGGCTGAGACGGCAACGTGTGGTAGGGTTTACGTGAGGCATGGTCCCAACTGTTGCGACCCCAACCGTCCTCTGTGCTTTCTGATTCCCAAGGGTTTTGGAGAGGATCTAATGGGCACGTCTCAGCTGGCAGCGGCAGGAAGCGAGATTCAGTTTGCAGCGCTCCTATTGGCCATCGGCCGTAAGTCGGATTTTCCCAAGGTCTGGGCGTACTTAGCTTTGTCGTTACTGCTGTGTTTTGGTTTGCTTCCTTTTTGGTGGCCCAAGGCCTCAGTCCCTTGGACTCATCGGTATCGGAGGACGCAGTCGGCCAAAGTGAAGGCGGGGCTTCGAGGCGCTCTTTGCGGCCCAGAAGTTCAGACGTCCAACTCGGCAGTTGGTAGATGAGTAGAGTCTGAGAGGTTTGCGAATCGGTGGCATTTGCAGGTCCTGTCAAGGTGACTCAGTTGACTCAAGGCTCGGAAGGCTTTCGCATCCGTGCAGGTTGACCCCGGTGTTTGCCGAAGTGCCCGGGCAGTCAGCGAAGCCTTGAATTTTCTTACCGGACAGTCGCCTGGCAGCATTGGGCTCGTCTCAAGATGGAGCCCTGCAAGTGGTTGCCTTTTGATTGTACCTTGAAACCACAGCAAAATGGGCGCCTAGATGCAAAACACACCCATGTTTCGAATTCATAGTAAGATCCACGTAGAAGACATTAAAGCAGACTTGAAGCACTCGCCACTTGACAGCTGGCAGTCTAGCGACCAACAGCAAGGAAACCCTGCGAAAGGAGTATAAACGATGAATGTACAAAAAGGGCATGGAGGCCTTTGTGGAAGGGCCTCTTTGCAGATTCGCTCACGCACCCGCCGAAGGTCACGCAAGGTGTTCGTGTTGCCTTCTCCAAATTGTGAGTATAGAGGTGGCAATCATCCAATCAGCGTAAGGCAAACGTTGCCTTCGCAAGATGTATTTCCAGCTTCGAGCATCACGGCTTCCAGCAGTAATGTGGGAAGTTGCTGCACCTGCGGTGGTTTGAATTCCATGAACATCGCAACATAATCATGTGTTCAACAATGGATTCGCACGCAAAGGCACAACATCCACACTAAAGCTCACCTAAGTGTGGTCTAATAAAATTTACATCAATGGTGGCAGGTTTCTCTTATCGAAGCCAGTTGTACTGAACCTGTTTTTCTTACCGCTCAATTGATGGGGGTTACCAGATCGGCGCGTTTGTTGTATGACAAAGTCCCTAAGCAACCTAAATGCTGCAAGTGAACCAAGCACATACCATGGGCAAGTTGCAGTGCTCGATTCGTTTCCTAGTTCCAACAAGTTGCTGCCCTAGGTGCCAAGTTTCCATTGTTGTTCCTGTCTCCGGCTTCCCTTAGTTCTCTTGTTCACCTATTCGCACTATTTAGGGAAGCTTTGTAGTTCGCCGTGGTTGGCATTGCAAGTGCTGCAACGAAACATGGTCAACCAACAGCATCCTGTATTATCCTAGTCCTCTTTGCTTGTCAAGAAAAGACATGTGTTAAATGTGACATATAGTCAACCTGGGAACCTTCTAATGATTCGCCCCCCCTCTTCCCCCCCCCCCCCCCCGGTGTAAATTTTCTATAGAAAAGGGAGCCCGAGCCCGTGTTTGCCATGAGAAGCAATTGATTAGCACCAGCGTAGACCCCTTCCTTAGAAGGAACCCCTATAGCTTTCAGTTATTTGGGGATGACTCCAAGCCGAGGCCCCTCACGCTCTCGGAGAGCCGCGAGCTCTGGCAGCTTCTCAGCTTCTCCGTGAGGCGACTCGGGCGAATCGGGGATTCGACCGGAGGGAACCGAGCCTCAAAATTGGGCGGTTTCTCGAAGGAGCAAAATGGCAAAGGATTCTCATGGGACCCTCCAAAGTATTTGTGGACATACATTTCCCACCAAAATGATGTCCAAGGCCCAGAACTTCCTCGGCAGGGCAAATTGACACCATAGACAAACCATAGACAAACCATACACATACCATAGACATATCATACACATACCACAGGCAAACCATCCGGGAAAACCACAGGCAAGCAAAAAACTGCTACGAAAAGTAAGGTGTAAGTCAAGGGTACTTGATTCCGCAGAAGGGGAAACACATTGCAAAATCATGCTGTTCACATCAGATCGAGTCGTAAAACCGAAATTTGTTGAGCTCGTTGCTTGCGACCGAGAGGGACCGCAGACAAACCGTAGACAACCTGCAGAAAGTACAGTTTCTGCCGTAGACAAGACATTTTCTGCACACCTCGTTTTTGCACCATTTTGGTGTCAATTCGCGGCACGTGACTTCTCAGGACTTTGTTGATCTTTTCTGACTTGGCAATGGGGCAATCAAAGACTCGTGCTCCAAATATGCATGCATGGATCGATGGATGTATGCTGGACCATTACATGCATATATCAAATGAACCGTTCCCGAGCCCTGCCCAAGTTAGCCCTGCGAAGCGACCGAAGCACTCTCAAGCTCGGCAAAATGGGACTGTGTAGCCCCTTCCAGCTGCTTTTAAGTGGGATCTTCGTGAAAATCATGGTCCGACCTAATTAAAGCAAATAGTGGCCTTTTCCCAGAAAATGTACTTTACCACCTGGCTATTTATTCAATGTCCTTTTGGAAGTCTAGGGAAGGGATTCCCGATTAAAATTGAAACCTAAATGGGCAGCTAGCAGCTACCTAAAGTGGGCAGCTGCGTCAACAACACAAAATTGTTGCCCCAAGCAACCTCACCCGTGTTTTGGCCAGGTGTTATAGTGGGACCTTTGTGGGTGAGTGTATATGTGGGGCGGGCGGTCAACTTTGAGGGGTGTTCAGGGTTGGAGGGTAAAGAACTACGGCAGCCCTGCAGTGCTCAAATGCCGGCTTGGCCATTATTGTTGATCCCTAGCAATGTGAATGATCCTCTGCTGGCAGTGGTTTGACCATGGAATCAAATCACAGCAGTGGGCGCTTGACAAACAGTGTTGTACCGCGGGCTGGTCCCCACAGGTTTTTCTCCGGCATTGAGCAACTGTTTGAGTTCAAACCTCATGCTTGGTTTCAAAGTGTGTGGCTGGTCTGACAAGCCTTTGCAAGGCACACGCGATTCAAACACTTTTTGGGAATGAATATTCTTAGAATCGCATGTGTGTCCAACCCTCAGATGCGAGCAAGTGCATGAGCAAGGCCCTGGCTGCCATGGTATACGGCAATTTCCGCAACCATTCATGTTTATCAGAGCTGTTTCGGTTTTGTTCGGTTTGCCCCGATTGGTGTATGGGGCAAGTGTATATCAAGCGCATCCTGAGACTTAAAGCTAGATTAGATGCTAAACTCAGTTGCCCAAAGCTGACCTTTTGACCTTTTGTTTTTCCTGTTTTGGTCCCTTTTTAGTGGAGGTGCCAAAAGGTTAACCTTTTATGTTTGGGTCCTTTGGGCAAGTGAGTAAACAATTCACATTGTGCTTTCGTCCGTTTAAATCACAAGGGGATAGATACGTGTTTTTGTCTACCTCGTAAGTTAGCACCCTGAAGACAAAGGTTCACTCAAGCAACCCGTGTTGCTGCACAGCAATCCAGCCAAATCATTTAAACTCAAGCTACACATGTCACAACCCGTTTTGGGTTCAAATGGGCAACGGCAGGGGCAATGATGGAAGGCGGCGCTGATGAACCTGCGGAACAGTCAGGATAAAGCATGACAAGGGCAAAACGAGCTCACGCATGACAAAGGTCCCTTACTTACTCGGGCATTCCTGTTTTTCGTGCGTCATAGTTGAACATTTGGCCAGAAGAGTGGCAATGCTGGCAACAGATATTGCTATGGAGAAGCGCGGCAATGTGGAGCCTGGCGGCAGCAATCCATTTCCTCACATATATGTTTTATCCACCCAATCGGTTCATCGGGAGGTTGCTCCCGAAAATGGGAAGCATCAAGCGCTGATCTAGGGGAACATGGTTCATTGAACTCATTTGTTAATCACCTTCGACTGTAGGTAAGGTGTCCTGTTAGGTACCGACTCCCTCGGGAGCTGCGGCAGCACGCCAGCGCGGCGTTGCTGGAAACTTAGCTCCGAGAGGATCACAGAGTTGCCCCCCGGCCACCAAACACATCCTGAACTATGGAATCCTCTTGGGAGACCTCGCCTTTGGGGTCAGTCTGTCAGGCCAGTTTAGCAACCCGCTTATTACTTGCGAGGTGAGAGTTGATACTGGGCAAATAAAGTGGATTGTTCACCTTACTGGGCGCTCTTCCAAAGTCACTTCTTCGCGCAGTGTTGTATGAAGTTCCGTTCTCTGCGATGTTCAACGTAGAAGAACTGGGCGTGTCTTTTGTGAGGGTGCCTTTCTTTTTTTTGGGGGGGTGTTCAAGAGAAACCACAGAAGAAAAACAAAAACGGGCCTCATTTGGGGGTTCGCCAACTGGAGAGCTAGCGTGCCGCAAGTGGCAACTCATGTTATTTTTTTCCCACTGCGCCAAGTTTCTGATCGCACAGGCTTGACCGCTTGAAGGACAAGGAGAGCGCGGCAGTACTGCGCCGGCCCTGGGTCGGCTGACTGAGAGACTGCGTCACCAGGGGTTGGAATCCAACTGGCACGGCACAAAGGGTAACAGAAATCTACATGTTCCCTTTTGCAGGTACCAGCATGCTTGTAACATCTTGCAACTGTATGGTATGGCCAAAGCCTTCCTAGATCCCCTTCCGTGGATGATGTTCATCATACGGTCCACGGCTTTGGCAACATGTGCCTCCTTTCTGCAGCAAACCAGGGGTAGCAGTCAGCTTACAACATGCATGTGTCCAAAATATATGTTTACTCCTGTTGGCTCTCCGCTTTCAGATAGGTTATCGATTCGTGTTGAGGCAATGCCTTGCCCCCAAACCATCCTCCTTTCTGGCTCTCCATTTTCAGGGATTATCACATGATTCCCGTTGCACCCCCGCCAAAGTTGAAGTTTCTCAAGAATTGTATTTAAAGGGAAACCACAGAGGGAAGCCAAACATTCGAGACTCCCTTATTGGGTGTGTCTTTTCTGGGAGACCCTGACCCCCAAAAAACGAAGAAGAACTCCCCCCCCAAAAAAAAACAAGAAAACAAAAGCAGAAGAAGACGAAGAAGAACAAGCATCGGTTTTCCTGTTCGCTTTCTCTTTTTTTGGCCAACTCCGACTTCGGGGCGAGCCGAGAAGGAGCCCTGTGTCACGTCATCTCCGCGCGAGGCCCATGTTGGTCCGCGGCGGCCAGGCCGCCGGCCTCACGGCGCCGGAGCGGCGCTACGTGCTGCCGGAGCCCCGGAGCCCCGAAATTGGGCGGTGGGGTCCGGACCGAGCCGTGGGCGCCGAGGCGACCAGCAGAATGATCTATGACCTCTGGTTGATATCACTTCACCTCTGGTTTTATCCGATACCTCACCAAGATTCCAAGTTAAGTTGAAGCTTAGAGGGAATTTTATGAGAGTTCTGATAAAAGGCCACGGAAGGCATAGGTTTATTTGGTCCCAACCCAAGCCTTCTGCGTTGTGGGCGGCCTTGTTCATTCCTTGTGTTCTTTCCATGAGCCACCGTCAGAGAGAGTTTTCCCAGAGCCAACCCTGAAGTCAAACCATTTGTTCCACATGGTGCCTTGTGGTCAGTGAGCATTTGACAAAATCTTGCCGAGCAACAGTTTTCCACGTCTGGATGAAACTTTCGCATTCATTTGGTTGTGGGCTTGCCTTTTGCCTGGCAAACAAGCCTGCCATGAGGCTGCAGAGTAAGCTGGCTTTGGGTGTAACACGCTGTCGCCATACGTTCCATGCGAGTTTCCCTATGCCCAACCTGCGTTTCGAGTCGACATCTAGAGGCGTAGGCATGGGGGCAGTCGCTTGTGTGTTTGCATGTTCGCCTCTGCAAGTGTGTGTGTGTGTGTGGTTGTGTGTGTGTGCGGGCTTGGGGGAGGGGAGTAGTCAGCATAGTTGCCAGCAGAGCTGGTGGACGGACATTTGAGAGCAACTTAACTACAGTTAAAATGAAATCGGTTGTAGCAGCCTCCCCCGCCTTTCATTCAGCGGGGCCTCACCACCCTCGCGACCGTTTGCGTTCGTTCTTAAGGACTTGTTCGCATGGGCCATTGTCGTTTGACTCTGTGTGTGTGCTTGCTTGCTTGCTTGCTGGCTGGCTGGCTGGCTGGCTGGCCGGCCGGCTGGCTGGCTGGCTGGCTGGGGCTGGCTGGCTGGCTGGCTGGCTGGCTGGCTGGCTGGCTGGCTGGCTGGCTGGCTGGCTGCCTGGCTGGCTTGCTTGCTTGCTTGCTTGCTTGCTTGCTTGCTTGCTTGCTTGCTTGCTTGCTTGCTTGCTTGCTTGCTTGCTTGCTTGCTTTCTTCTTGCTTGCTTGCTTGCTTGCTTGCTTGCCTGCCTGCCTGCCTGCCTGCCTGCCTGCCTGCCTGTTTGTTTGTTTGTTTGTTTGTTTGTTTGTTTGTTTGTTTGTGTGATTGTTTGATTGTTTGTCTGTCTGTTTGTTTGTTTGTGTGTCTGTTTGTTTGTCTGTTTGACTGTTTGACCGTGTGTTTTCTGGCTTGCGTGTTTGTTCGCTTGATGTCAGATTTGTTGCTCTTTACAACGGTCGTTCCTTTGATTCTGTGTGTAAAACCTGCTGACCGGCAGCTTCCAGCAGGCGGAAGCTCCCCAAGCTGCTGATTCAGCAACGTCCAAAGAGTCTCCAGCTCAACAATCATGAGGTTTCGGACTCGGCACCGGGTCAAAATTTAACCGCCAGGAATTGGAGCGCAGGTTGGGTCCTTGGTTCCATCTACCAGGGCGACCCATTTTGGGTAGTTATTTTTGACAGCCAAGTGACCGTGTCAGGAAACATGAGTCACCCGTGTCCTGACTTTGTCCAACCTGTCTTCTGACTTCCCTGACTCGCCCCTTACCTTTCTTGCTTCTATAGACCTCGCCGGAGGTACTGCATGCTCACCTCCCCGGAGGCGTTGGCCTCTGCTGGCCCGGGGCCTCGGTCATGGGGCGGTTTGCTTGGAGCTGGTGCCCTTAGTTTTGTGTGTTGTTTTACTAGTTGGTCCTCTTGTTTGCAGGCGTTGAGAACAGGTTTCAACTCGTCAGACTGGATGGCCGACTGCGGTCATTTAGCAGGTCGCAAGTCAAGTTGCCATTTCCTGGGCTTCAACCGCAGCCGCACTTCCCCCGCACTTGGGATCAATACCAATTGCACCAGAGCTACGGTAACACGGCAGTTCAGCACAACAGTCCTCCAGTATGAGTTGAGCTTTTGGAGACTGGCATCCCCGCGTGCTTAGGTCATTCAGAGGGGGGTCTTCAGAGGCAATCCAAGGCGCTCTGACGTGGCTGTGAGGGCGGTGGCTCAGTCTGGCCTTTCCGCGGCCAGTGTTTGTTTCCTGGCCCAGTGCACGTTGACTGCTACAAGTGGCTGCCATTTAGCACAGGAACCTAGCGGGCAGGCCTTACGTAGCTTGTTCTTCACGTAATGATGATGGATCGAACAGACTGAAGCAAACAACAGTTCTTTGCTGACCCTTCACCTAGCACGGAGCTTCCGTGAAGGCTCTTTCAGAACTGGTGGCTGGAGAGGAGCTCCAACAGTTTTGGCATGCCACCCACCCAGGACGCCTTCCAAAGGACAAGGATTGGAAGCAGCGCAATAGATTATTGGGTACTGCTTTTGGCTGCAATGCAGAGACAGTGACATCCTGTCCAACTTGATTTGGTTTGGAGGTGGGATGTCATGTTGAGAAAAAGGAAAAGACGGTCAAATCAAACGGACCTTCTCACAAGGGCTGGTGTCACGATCTAAAACGTGGGTGTCTCTTAAATCAGGCAGCAGGCCTTCAATGGCGCCTCGATTTGCTTGAGGTCATGCTAAGATCATTCAAGTTTGGCTGGGCAGAGGGCCACGTGGGACATGCGAATGGGAACCGTAGGCTGATGGACTAATGGACCTCTTGTTGGCAAATGGGGGAACCCTGCAGCTTTTGAGAGCAACGCACCCAATACTCCGCCAGAATCTACTCAAAGCTGGACAGTTCGTTTTGGGGAGTTTCCCCGAACAGTGATTCGTGCTCCGATTCAATCGGACACCTCACGATCGAAATCGGGAGTTTATTTGTGCGTTCCACCTCCCTTCGAATTAATATGCAACCTGCAAGCAAAAACTCTGGCTCTGTCTCCAAAATGGGGGACCCCCGGATGGATGTTGTCTCAAGGGAAAGCTAGAGGTTTTCCACCTGGAGTCTCTATGTCCTTAAGAAATGGGGTCATTACCCCAAATTAACGGTCATGGATCCATTTTTTCTACGGGTCATGGAGACTCTAGGTACCTGCATGGGCTGCATGGCCCCATTTTAGGACATACCCGAAGGAGATTGGCTTCGAGGCTCGCGAACACGAGGTGCTTCTGGCCGCGCTGGCCGAGCTAAGCAGCAAGCCGGCACCAGGCGCAGGCGGCGCCGGCGGCGCCTCAGGCGGCGCAGGCGGCGGTGTCGGGTTGGTTTGTTTCTCCTCCCACGAAAACAGGGGTACCCTCAAGAACGAGTCACACCCGTCCACCTGAAAGAAAAAGTGCCCTCAAAAACCAGTCACCCACCTTTTGCATCCCCAACTCCTGAAACCCGTCCGGAACCCTAGCACGGAGATGCTCCCACGCCATCCTAGAGCTTATTTGGACAGAGACTTTATAGCTTTCAGCTCTCGGGGGAACCCTGAGGAGATGTCTTTGCAAAAGACTCACTAAAAGACTGGAGTGGTCGCACAACAAGAGATTTCTCTATAACTAAATGGCAGGGTGTTCGAAAAAGCAAGCAAATTGGTGATTGCTTGTGCATCTGGTTGTTTCACACCGGCATCCCCGCATGGTTAGGCTCCCTGCCCCACAGGCACGTCGTCGACAATTGCTAAGACGAATGCTTTGCTGCAGCAAGCCGTTGGAACAAGTTGCCACGATGGAGGTGCCACGGCCGATACTCCTATGTTTGTCATGGGTGTCTTAGTAGAGGGATTCCCCCAAACAGGGTCCAACAACAGAACATAGGGTCTTACTTGCTGTTGCTCAGCAGGGAATGAGAGAATGAATCTGGGGATTCCCGAAAAATGAAACCACCAGTTGGATGGTTTTTCTCGGGGTCATTCCCACATTCCCTGCCTGTCGCACCAGCTTACGTCCTATTCGGCACAATCGGTCCGGATCTACTCGTCCAAAACTCAATCACTGGTGCCTCGCAGCTGCCGCAGTTCGACAGCGGAATCATCTTCACACGGCACAGGACCATTGGCAACTGATGGAATGATCATGGGTGCTACCCATATTTTCTGATTCTCCGAAATCCGAAAAGGACACTAAAAAGGAACACAAGCTTGTTAGGTTTTCCATAGCACCCAGTGCCAGCAACTGGCTGGTTTGTGTTGTCAGCATTTGGCACACTCTCGGCATGTCCCTCAGAGAATTTGGGGTCCACTCGATCAATTTTTGGGTCCACCCATTTTTTGTGTGATACCACAGGTACTTGCAAGGTCTGTTTTCAGAAGTCGAAGGCCCCCAAAGCGGGCCCAAGCTGTTTCGCTGTCTTCATTGGGTTTTCTGCGCCAAGTCGGTGTACCCTTGGGGCTTGGTTTGGGGACACCGAACGCCGCAGCTTGGGCTCTGGGTCCCGATGAAAGGCGGATATGCCGCATGGATTAGATGAACTTCTCCAGTCGCAGTGCCGGGGACGCGACGGAATCTGCGGGCGGTGCCTTGCATGCACGAGGTTCGAAACAGCCTGCATGTATGAGAAGGGTATGGGTCAAAATTAAACCTGGAATTGGACCGCAGGTTTAGTCCTTGGTTCCATTTACCAGGGTTCCATTTTGGGCACCCAGAAAACATGTCCACTTGTCCATGTTGCTCGGCAACACCAGGTATGTGTACCAATCTTACTAAGTAGTTTAGTCATACTAAGCTCAATCGGGGGTTGCAGACATGTCCACTATCAACAGAGAGCGCAAGTGACGTCACCACGCCAATCCAGCAGTAGAAAGACATGGTTGCTTTTAAGTTTCCGGGGTTCTTATTCCCTAGTTGAGTGATCTAAGCATGAGCGGCCAAATTGGGGGGATGAATGTCTGGGCAATACAGTGCAAGCCCGGAGAGATGGAGGTAAAGCTAACAGATGCTGCAGGTTCTCGGGGTAATTAGATTGCGAGGTGGCCCAGTTGAGTAACTGCTGAAGAAAATGCCAATCTGTCTATGTAGGGCACCAAGAGACCTTTGCCTTCGAATGTTTGGCGGATTCAGCTTTCATTCTTGGTGAAAGAGGAATTTGCCTTCAGTATGTTTGAGTTGCCGGATTCAACCTGCAGTGTTTGTACATGCAGTCGCCATCTTGCCATTAAGGAGAGGTGAAAGAGAAGGCCGAGGGTGAAGCAGATGGTACCAAGAAGGTGTCGCTCTCAGATGTGTCCGAGGAGGACAAGGACGAGCGCGAGGAAAAAGAGGCTGAGACTGGGGATGAGTTGGATAAGGCCACAGAAATGGCTGGGTTCAAGCCCTTCAGCAAGCTCCGCTCGGAGCGCTCCAAAAGCCGCAGCGAGGCCAAGCCGGACCGGGCCGGGGCTGAAACTTCGCCGCCCAAGGCGCGGTCGGGAGCGCGATCGCCTCGGTCTGGCAAGGGGCATGGGCCCAGTGGGCCAAAGCTGAACCGATCTAGGCAGCGACTGGGAGATCAAGACTTGAGGCGGATGCAGGACTTGGGAGGCTTCGAAGAGGTGGACTTCTCGCGGAACAACCTGAGCTCGGAGGGTGTTGGTCCCCTTCTGGAGATTTGCAAGCGCTGCCCCGATCTGAAGATTCTCAAGCTCTTCAATAACCAGCTTGGCGATGACGGGGCAGAAGAGCTGGGCCAGATGTTCAAGTACTGCCACGCCATTGAGGAGGTGCATCTTAGTCACAACAACTTCACGGCTCGAGGGGTTGAGAGTATGGTGAAGGCCGCCAACCGAGAACTCCCCCGCAAAGCGGTTCGTCCACTGTGGCTGCGCATGGAGCACAACAAGGTCCAGGATACTGAGGGTTTGGCTCGTGACCTTGAAAGGCACTACCCAGCGGTTTGTGGCCGCGAGGACCGGGGACGCTGCACTCCCCGGGTTTGTGCCAAGGGCCGGCGCATCCATTTACCCTTCCTCATTGAGGTGCCCAAGGGCAGTGGCCGCGAGCGCGGGCAGCGAATGCGACCTGACCAGCGGCGTGAGCGCTTTGCGCCCCGGCGACGGTCGCGGTCGCATCGGTCGCATCGGTCGCCCCGAGCGAGGTCCCGCCGCTCCTCACGGAGATCCAGGCGCCGCCTGAGTCCACGGCGGCCACTGCGCCGCACGCGGACGCCACCCCGCCGAGTGCGGGCGCGCACGCCGCCGCCGTCCCCGAGCCCGTCGCAGTCCCGGTCCCCGAGCCGGAGACCCTGCCTGCGCAGCGCGCCCCGAAAGCGGCCGCGGAGCCCGTCCCGGTCAGCTTCGCAGCTTCCTGCGGAAGTCACGAAGCTTCGGCCCAAAGCCAAGGCACGTCCCCGCATTCCACGCCCTGCACCGAAGCGAGCAGAGGAGCCGGAGTACAGCTATTACAGTGAGTATGAGTATGAATACAGCTATGTCTAGGCCTGTACCCTGACACAAGGGTCATTAGTAGATCAAACAAAACAGAGAGCGGCAATTGTTAATGTAGTGGCAGGCAGCTGATGGCGTCAGCCGTCTACTTGAAGAACACCATCATTCGGTTCTTCTTTCCAGACTGCATCTTCTTACATGGCAGTCATCAATGCCTTGCCAATTTGCCTATTAGTCCCTGCTATTGGCTTGAGTCAGACGCGGCGCTGGGACAAAAGAGGCCAAGCCACGCGCGGAAATAGCCACAGGTAGGGTTGCAGGGGCAGTGGGCGCGGGGGTTTGCAAGGGACTTAGCCATGATGCCAACAATGCATGTCCCACACATTGGTTGACATAGGAATAGACCAGCTGGCTATGTTACGTTCTGCCACAGTTGGTTGGACAGAACGCACACACACACACAGGCACACACACCCACACACACACACACCCGGCCTGTTTCACACCTTTGCCGAGTTGAAAGGATTGACTTGTGCATGTTCGTTCGCGCAAGCTTTTTTTCCCAATATTGCTCCACCAAAACAAAAGAAAGCGCTCTCCAAAACATACCTCGACAATGTGTAAACAAGGGCATGTGCTGGACAGTGTGTGCATGGAAGTGGGCATGTGTGACCAAAAGCGTGACCAAAGCGTGGCGGTTCCAAAGTTCAACCTTTGAAAGTCATGCCCCACTTCTTCCCCCGAAGGCCATTGCCCACCCCCAAGTAGATGCCCACTTTGAAAAGCAATATGTTGTGCAACAATGATAGGCGCGAAGAGATCCAGATGTGCAACAGCGCAGCCCGTCCCGGCAGTTACACTTTCAGGTTCAGTAGTAATCTGTTTGGGCGCAACCGGTCAGGAGGTGATTCTATAGATGCAGGAGAGACCTCCAGAGATGGCTTGTTTCCTACAAACCTTGTACTCGCCTGCCTTTTGGGAGCAGGAAAAGAGTCAATGAGGCCAAAGAACGTCAAACGCACACCAGTGCATCAAAAAGAAAACGTCAAGCAGTTGATGAACAAGCCAGGTACAGTACTCGCCTCGCAATGGAGTTCCGAGCCGCTCGCATGACTCTCGCGTGTGTTTTTCCGCCAGAGGCATGGGCTCCATCGAAAACAGGCCTTTGGCAAGTCACGTGACAGGGCGGGTTTTTGCGCATCGGCCCCAAAGAGTTTCCCTCGGATACACAATCACAACCACAAGATATGGGGCCACTGTAAAGGGTATGTACCCTATTTTCCCCTGTGGAAACCATGTTAACCATAGGGTGACAACTTCACCAGGTCCACACGCCCGTGAGCCGTCCAGGTGTTTCTAGTGGACGAGCTATGGACGTGCCGTTGAACGGGATGAAGCTGAGGCGAGGGAAGGCTTCCTGATGAGCTTCCCTTCTGGTTGCGGCTTCCGTTTGCCTTCCTTTTTGGTTTGCCTTTGCCTCACTTCTTTTCCACTTCCTTCTCCCTCTGCTTGCCTTTTTTTGGCCTAGGAGAATGAGAGGGCCTCGAAAAGTGTTCGTAAGGAATGGGATGAACCCTGCCTGTCTCCTCACGATCAAGCATACACTCAGATGCTCAGATGTGGCCTGAGCGATCTAAGACAACGACACAAAGACCGTCCTTCCCCTCTTGGCGCAGTCTGGAAATACGATCCAGTTGGGACCTTTTACCCCAAAGAATCAAAGGCCACCTTGAAATGGGACCCGACAGGGGGAAACGTCCTGGGTTAGATCCGCCAGCAAGGCGTTCTTTTCCTCATTCAGGTGCCAAAAAAATAAACAGATTTCGATCATTGCCCCACAGAGATGGAGATGTGTTTTATACTTTGCGACCCCTCTATATGTAAGACTTAGCAGGAGGTCCGTCGCAAAGGAGAGAGACTCCACATAGCATTGGGAACGCGGTTGGAATGCTTTCTGCAGGGAAACCTACAGGAAACCAACCAATGTTGCGAGCGTCTGTTTGGACCTAAAACGGGAGTGAATCCGGACTATCATTGCCGTTGACTTTGGTTTGAGGACTCTGGCTCTAGCCACAAACCTTTAAGCATCAGATGCTAGGCCGTGCAGTTGCCACTGTGCGACGCGCGCAAGGTCAGAGTATGAGCGAGCTCACAATTCCCCGGATCTTTGCCCTGTCTTCGATTGAGTTCTGAAAAAGATGTCGAGCTGACTGCCCTGAGCCCTGAATGGCGACGCTGTTCACAGGCAATCATAGGTGTCCTCCTTATATAGGTTAGTTTGGTTAAAAATAGATGGCACTCATTTCTAAAAAAGACACCTATGCAGGCAATCCTTACTTCTTTTGGGGTGGTTCGGAAGGGTCGCCTTTGTGGCTCCCCCAAAATCTCAAAAGGTATTACGGCATTGTTGATTGTTTAGGAGCCACTTCATGGGCAACATGGGGAGGGCGTCAGCGGCAGACTTTGACCTTCGCTCTGCTTTTTGCTATGCCGTGGGCATTGGGTCCTTCTGGCTGGTGGGTTCGCTTGTGACCGTCTGGTCGCGGGTTCGCTTGTGACCGTGTCTTTTGGATTCTGTGCTCCTTCTGCGGACGTTTTGAGAGGTTGCGCTTTAAGCTGTATCGATTGGTAGGAAGTCGTATCGAAATGTGACTTCCTCTTTCTTCGCAATGCCCTGGGGAGATGTGACTTGTCCCGGTTGATTTGAGTTAAGCCCCCTGGCTGCAGTAGCGCTGAGCATGTTGATTGAGTCCTTTTGGGGGAGATGTTTGTGAGACAGCACAAAAGGGTGGGGTGGGACGTGAACACTGCACACACTTGTTGCGGCGAGTTGGGTATGCATAGCGCCTTGTAATATTCTATTTTGCAAAGTCTTGCAGATGGGCTCAAGACATGCTTGATTGTTTGTTCTTTGTTTTCTGGGGTGTGTGCGCGCTTGTGTGCGTTGGTGTGTGTGTGTGTGTGTCCGTATTTGTGTTTGTGTTTGTGTGTGTGTTTGTGCCAGTGTTTTAGTTTGTGTTTGTGTTTGCGTGTTTGTTTGTGCTTGTGCGTTCGCTTGTGTTTGGTGTGTGTGTGTGTCTGTGTCTGTGTCTGTGTCTGCGTCTGTGTCTGTGTCTGAGTTTGTGTGTTTGTGTTTTGTGTGTTTTGTGTGTTTGTGTTTTGTGTTTTTTGTGTTTTTGTGTTTTGTGTGTTTGTGTTTTTGTGTTTTTGCGTTTTTGTGTTTTGTGTTTTTGTGTTTTTGTGTTTTTGTGTTTTTTGGGTTGTTTTTGTGTTTTTGCGTTTTTGTGTTGTTGCGTTTGTGTGTTTGTGCGTTTGCGCGTTTGTGTGTTTGTGTGTTTGTGTGTTTGTGTGTTTGTGTGTTTGTGTGTTTGTGTGTTTGTGTGTGTGTGTGTGTTTGTGTGTTTGTGTGTTTGTGTGTTTGTGTGTGTTTTTGTGTGTGTGTGTGTGTGTGTGTTTGTGTGTCTGTGTTTGTGTCTGTGTCTGTGTCTGTGTCTGTGTTTGTGTTTGTGTTTGTGTTTTTGTGTTTGTGTGTGTGTGTTTGTGTCGTCGTTCCTTCGCGCTCCGAACGCATGTGCTAATATAACCTGCCGTGCTTCGATGAGCGGACGTGCGTGAACGTTCGCGCGGTTTCCTCCCCAGCACGCAGGCCGTTAATCCCTATGGTCGCAAGTGAGGCGAATCTGATGGTCAGAATGTCACAAGTGACCCTGACGGTCACAGGTGATCCCACGGTCGCAAGTGGTCGCAAGTGAGCCCCCTACCATACGCTTCTGGCTCGGCTGATGTTGACCACTCCAGCGAAGGTCGGCTTGCAGGTGTTCAATTGGTTCTTGTCAAAACAATAGAACTAAACTAAGTATTAATATATATTATATACATATTATAAATCACAATATTTAAATATATCCTCACTCATGTATAAGCTTTAATGTGAAGCAACCATGATCTGCTGCTCTTTACTTTGAGTTGGCATAGGGCGTGTTTGTTTTGTCATTGCAGTCCTGCTGTGTACGGGCATCTTGCCCTCGGCAATTTGTACTGTATGTTTGGCGGTTGGCCTTGCTCGATGCATTAAGGTGTTGCAACGCTGGTCCCGCACGCTGCAGCAATTTCTGAACACAAAAGTTGGATATTGGCTCAACAACTTGCGCGGGTTATCGATGTGGTGGTGGATTCGCGGGGCGGTGAGCCACTCAGCTGGATTTGGGCATGTGTGTGAAAATTTGAGTTTATGGCAGTTCTCTCTCGGTGGCACCGAGATTCGGAACAGATTCCAAATCAGATTTATGTGGCTTGATATTTGTTGGGACAGTGAAAGGCCGGGCCGTTTGCTGGAGGGGGTGGGAGGTGGTGACGCGGCTTTAAATCTAGGCTGTTTGGAGCCTTTTCAACGCTTGCAGTGCGACACTTGGCTTTCAAATAAGCGTCGCAAATTATTGCAATAAACGCCCCCGTCACATTCTTATGCACGTTATCTTGTGTTTGGTTTGTTGGGCAGTTTGCGCTGATAAGTGCAGCTCACTTTGCAAGAACCGAAGCGCACGAAGAAACTTCCTACTAGTTAAGCCCTCCAGATGACCCTAGCGGATGGTGCGAATCCACCAGTGCTAATCCCCCTGGGTTCTTCGATTTTTCTCAGGTGGCGGCGGCATGAACTTGCGCTTTTTCGGGCTCGACCTTGATTCGCGTAGAATCCCCAAGTTGCATGGTCCATCCTTGCGAGTTAGGTGTTCAGCGAGCATCTTGGAGAGGAAGCACCTGAGGCCCCAGGCTCAGTCCGAAATGTTTGCGAGTTGCATCCCAGATTCGGGGCCTTTAGCTCCGGAGCTTGGCTGCCTTGTCATTGTGAAGCAGGGTGCAACCCTTGGACTTGGATCAAACATGAAAAAACAGACAGGCTTTGGACTGGCACACAGGAGCAGAGAATTAGTCGATTTCTGGCCCAACAGTAGATGGACCAATGGGTGTAGCACTTAGACTTGTTTTGCTTGTCAAGTCTCAGTTCCATTCAGCACTGTACATTTCTTGTAGCTCAGCACTGATCTTCAGCTCCAGTGACTTGAGCATTTGGACTATAAATATGTTTCTTGGATGCATGTCCGACCTTGCCAAACCTTGCCTGCATTCAAACCCCCGCAAAATGCATGCGGCAAGCGATGCATGCGATGCGCATGCTCTCTCGTTTATTTATTTGTCCGGCTCAGACCAAGCAGTTGCCTCGTGGCCCCCTTTGCCAAAGCCTGCCGCGCATGGTCACTCGCGCCAGCGATGTCGCACCGGGTGCTGGACGAAGAGATGTCTGAGGCCTCGTCCTCCAGGGAAGAGTTGCACAAGACAGCACCGCGGATCCGCGGATTTGGGCCGTGTATCGATTGTCTGCCTAAAATGCGGGATTTCCCCCCCCTTAAGTGGAGAGGCTCCCGCCGGCGCCGGCACAGTTCCAACTGAAAACTGGAATTGAGGAGGTCCCACAGGGGATCTCAACGGGTTTGATACATGGATGACTTCTCTCTTTCTCGAAACGCAGCCTTGGCGTAAACTCGGTGTAGAGTTGCTCGGGTTCCCTTCATGCGGCTTTGGAGCTTTCGGATCAACTGCAACGGGGATGTAACACAACAGATTCTGCAAGTCACTGGGGTGGACTTAGGATACATTTGACATTTTACCAGTGACTCAAAGTGAAGCAAGCAACAAAATGTGCATTCTAAAACTGGGCCTAACTCTAGTCATGGTCAAATCTAGCTATCCTGGCAAATGATTGGCTTCCTCACATGCGAGCCGTTGACACCCACGAACTTCGGCTTCTCTGCACATTGATTGGTGGCTGGGTTGTGGACCTTCATGGACCTTCGCTTTGATGTTGGGGTCTGCCCTTTCAAGAAAACTTCAACAGGCCCTTCCCCCGCCCCTGGCCCACGTGTGAAGAAGAACACCTAGGTCCCCCAGTAGTGCCCCTTTTCCCTTTCTTGGGGGAGGGTTCCCCTACTAAAATGGACTACAGAAAAAAAAATCGGGTACCCTTATTCTAACCTCTCAAATCTGGAGAACCTAGATACAAACCGGACAGCTGCCTGTTGGAGCGCCAAGGCAAAGACGGATTGGCAGGAAGTCCTCCTGGTGCCGCTGGGGTTTGTGGCCTTCGTAGTCATCTGTGGTTTGGACCGATCGATGTGGTTTGCCTCACACAAAAAAGCACGCAGAAAAGCCCAGATTTGATAAAGCTGCTTTGTTTGAAGGTGAAGAGGGGTGTTTTTTCTCCCCCATAGGTGCTTAATGCAGGGGAAACTGGAATGTGTCAGAAGGGAATGCTCCAAGATTCTGGTAGCTTCCTTTGCTGGGAACTTAGCCGCTTGGGACGTGGAAACCGGCTTGCTTTGGATCCATGTGAGCCGCAGAAGATGATCCGCCCAGTGACAAATAATTGCGCATAAGCATCTACATGCATATTTTCAAAACCGGGGTCCCCGGACATGGTCAGAATGGTCAGTTTCCCTTTTGCTTTGCCTTTGAACACCCAAAATGATGTGCGCAAATTTGGTACCCTCCATGAACTTTCAGGCTCCATCAGTTTCTCCGCAAGCTGGCCCGGTGGTGTACTTAGGCTAGTAGTATTTCTGGGCCACTTATTGAATCCTGTCCTGAGCCTCCTGCATGCTGCGTGAAAGAAGTGGAATGTCAAATCAACATAGTGACTTTGTGTTTGTTCAATCCGACCCACTTCCACCCAGCTCCGTTCCAAACATGCAGATGAAATTGTGCCTACCATGAAGACTCGCACATGCATATTGTGATGGCAGGTGCACATTTGTATCACTTAGTGTATACGTATATAATAGCAAAAATTATATATATATATATATATGTTGTACATATATATATATATATATAATGTTGTGTGTGCGTGCGAGCGTGCGCGTGTGCCTGTGCCTGTGCTTGTGTGTGTAGTTGTGCACACAGTCCGGACATATGTTCAGGAACAGTGTCCGGATCGCATTTGGGCATGGGTCAAGATTAGGCCACCAGCGAACCGCCGGTTTTAGGCCTTGGTTCCATTTACCAGGGTTCCGTTTTGGGTATGTATTTGTCACCCACAGTCATTTTTGGTCCGCAGGACAAAGTCTTCCTCTACAGGGTCCACAAAATTATGGCGGACTACACGGCAGTTCTCATGGGCATCTACTGGCCTCCCATGTTGCAGGAGAGCAAGCCGTCGCTTCGGCGGGTTTTCCTTCCCCTGTCCTAGCGCTGGGTGCTCCCTAACAGCAACCGAACGTCGGCCCTTGTTCTCTTTATCGTATATATATATATATGTCAATGCCTTTAAACCTGCACTGACAACTGGCACCTTGTTCTTTTTGAGAGGGGGGCGTCCCTTTCAGACCGACAGGAACCCCTCTTCCCCATGGTCGGAGATTGGACGTGTCGCCAGTATACCACTTGTATTGTAATGAAGCTTAGTCCTTGATGGCCACAGGTCGAGTACGAGGACAAGGTGGAAGAACTTTGCAGGAACCCGGTGCATATAATGTAGTACGTAGCCTTTGTCAACTTCAGCTTCCGGATTGGCCAGCAGGAGCGTT